GCTGCCTTCGGCTCAGGTGATGATCCCGGGGTCCTGGGATCCAGCCCCGCATCGGGCTCCCTGCTCAGCGGGAAGCCTTCTTCTCCCTCTCCCTCTGCCTGCCTCTCTGCCTACTTGTTCTCTCTCTCTCTGTCAAATAAATGAATAAAATCTTTAAAAAAATAATTAAAAAAAATAAATAAATAAAAATGGACTTAAAGAGGGGCACCTGGGTGGCTCAGTCGGTTGAGCGACTGACTCTTGGTTTCAGCTTGGGTCGTGATCTCAGGGTCATGGGATCAAGCCCTGTGGCAGGTTCTGCACTCAGCGTGGGGTCGGCTTGGGATTCTCACTCTGCCTCTGCCCCTTTTCTCTCTCAAATAAAATCCTTTTTTTTTTTTTAAGATTTTATTTATTTATTTGACAGAAAGAGCACAAGCAGGGGGAGCAGCAGAGAGAGAGGGAGAAGCAAACTCCCCACTGAGCAGGGAGCCCATTGTGGGACTCGATCCCAGGACCCTGAGATCATGACCTGAGCTGAAGGCAGATGCTTAAAGACTGAGCCACCCAGGCGCCCCTCAAATAAAATCTTTAAAAAAAAAAAAAAGGATTTAATGAGACTTCTGGTTCCAGCCAAGATGAAGGAACAGGAACTAGAATTATTTTCCACCTGAAAACTAAAAACACAAAATATGTGAAACAACAGTTCTAAACACTGAAGGCCCATGACCCCCGAGAAAAAGGAACTGAGTTGAGTTCTAGGACTGCTCCAGCTTTCCATCTGGTGTTCAGAATGCACAGCAAGGAGGGAGAACTCAGGCAGAGCCCAGTGGTCTCTGTGAGTTGAGTGCATGGATCTGGGAGGCCAGGAGGCCAATGTGGCCGAGTTCACAGCAAAACACCGAAGAATAAAGAGGACACATGGATGTGTAGCTTAGTACTAACTAGCATTTGTGTGAGGGAATTATGAGGCCAAGAAAAGAACCAACAAAAAGGATTGGAGGGAAAACTCCCAGAGTTCAAGCAGGGCCAGGAGCAGCACCTCGAACAAGCAGCCAGAGTGCACACCTGCTCCTTGGGGCCTAATAACACATTTCATCAGCTGTTTGATATTGCTGTGCAGTTCACTGATGCTGTTTGTTTTTATCCTTTCTTCTGTTCCGCTTATAGGTTCTCTTTGTACATCTTCAATATCACCAACTTTCTCTTCCGTAATGTCTAATCTACCATTATTTCCACCCAGTGTATTTTTCATATAGATATTTCAGCACAAATCATAAAACAAATTGATTAATGTAGTGTATCAAGCTTAAGAACTTTTGTCCTTCAAAAGACATTGATGAGGGGCGCCTGGGTGGCTCAGTCGGTTAAGCATCTGCCTTTGGCTCAGGTCATGATCCCAGGTTCCTAGGATGGAGCCCCGCATCGGGGGGGGGGGGTCCCTGCTCAGCGGGGAGCCTGCTTCTCCCTCTCTCCCTGTTCGTGCTCTCTCACTCTCTCAAATAAATAAAATCTTAAAAAAAAAAGACATTAGGGCGCCTGGGTGGCTCAGTTGGTTGAGCGACTGCCTTCGGCTTGGGTCATGATCCCAGAGTCCTGGGATCGAGTCCCGCATCGGGCTCCTGGCTCAGCGGGGAGCCTGCTTCTCCCTCTGACCCTCTCCCCTCTCATGCTGTTTCTCTCTCTCTCTCAAATAAATAAATAAAATCTTAAAAAAAAAAAAGACATTAATGAGAGGTAGAAGATACTTGTAAATTACATATCTGGTATATATGTGTGTGTATATATGCAAAATATAGAGAGAGCTTGAACCTTAATAACAACATGATGATAAATACATAAATGGTTCAGGCACTTCACCAAAGATGTAGAGATGGCCAAGAAGCACATTAAAATATGTTCAATTTCATTAGTCATTAGGTAAATACACATTAAAACATTAAGACACCGTAAGATACCAGCTATTAGGATGTCTAAAACTAAAAAGACTAACCATACCAAGTGTTGGTAAGGTAACTGCAACTGCTGGTGTGCAAAATAGCACATCCACTTTGAAAATCGTTTGGCAGATTCTTCAAAAGTTAAATATGCACACAAACATGATCTCATCATCCTACTCCTAGGTATTAACCCAGGAGAAATAAAACAAGCTGTCCATACAAAGACTCACATATAGATGGTCAAAGCAGCTGTATGTGTAACAGCTAAAAAGTGGAAATCCAAATGTCTGTCAACAGAGGAATAAAGGCCCACACATACGATGGAATACTTTTCCATAATAAAATGAACCACTACTGATTCATGCAACATCTGCTGTACAAGCAAGTGCCTCCACGGGGACAACAGCTCTAAAGCAAAAAAGCCATCTCATCCGGAAACAGAGGCCTGAGGCCTTTAGAGCTGCGCCTGTGAATGTGGTGATAAGAGGAACAGAGGGCTAAAAAGAATGTTCAGAGTCACAAGAACTAGCTGAATGTGGTGTTGGGAGCACAGGAAGGCCAGTGGGAGAAGAGAGGGAGAGAGAGTAAACCTTCTTCAAGTTGGTGACATTTATCTGAATCTCAACCCCTGGACTAAGACTTGAGTTTGGGGGGTGATATATGCAGAGGTAAGAAAGGCATGACACAAGGAGTTTTCAGTTGTTGGGCCATTAAGTTCCAAACAGGGAGTAGGAAGGAGGTAAGAGAGCTTGGTACTGTTGGGACCACAATGCCTTTGAATTCAGGTTAGTATGTTCTGAGCACACTGGGGAAGCCATCAAGGTGTTTTTTGTTTTTTTAAGATTTTATTTATTTGACAGAGAGAGACACAGCGAGAGAGGGAACACAAGCAGGGGGAGTGGGAGAGGGAGAAGCAGGCCTCCCACCGAGCAGGGAGCCTGATGTGGGGCTCGATCCCAGGACCCCGGGACCATGACCTGAGCCGAAGGCAGACGCTTAACGACTGAGCCACCCAGGTGCCCAAGGTGTTTGTTTTTAAAATGAGAATAGCTCTAGTATTTGTTGTGAATGTAAAAGAAAATACATGTTCAGGGGTGCCTGGGTGGCTCAGTTGGCTAAGGGTGAGCTTTCGGCTCCGTTCATGATCTCAGGGTCCTGGGATCCAGCCCAGCATCCAGCTCCCTGCTCAGCAAAGAGCCTGCTTCTCCCTCTCCCTCTGCCCCTCCACCTGCTCATGGTCCCTCTGTCTCAAATGGGTAAAAAAATTCTTGAAAAAAAAAATGTTCATCATAAAAAACTAAGTCAAGGAATTAAAAAAATACATAAAGGACATTCAAAGCACCCTTAATCCTACCACCCGTAAATACCTGCCACCCCAAATTAACATTTTGGTGTCTTTTTTTTTTCTCTTATGTTCTGCATATATTCAAATAGAGAGCAGGCAGGGAAGGTGTCCTCATTCCTCCGGATCCACCCTCGAACCCCCGCGTCCTTCCAAGTAAAGGCTTTCTTGTTGCAGTCATGTACTGTCCTCCCCTCACCCCAACCCCGCTCCCACCAATCGTGTCCAGCAGTCCTGCGAGATTCCGGCAGCCTAGGGGCGCCCGGCTGGCTCCGTCGCAAGAGCATGCGACTCTGGTTCTCAGGGGCTGTGACTTCCAGCCTCCCGTTGAGTGTGGAGATTACTTAAAAAAAAAAAAAATCTGAGGGCCTCATTCTCAGCTTTTTTCTCCCCGAAGACAGGAGCAATGACAGGAACCCTGAGTCACAGTACGGCTGGCCCCTCACCGCCTGACTTCTGCGCTTCGCACGTCCTCCCGCAGCGAGCTGCTCCGCCCTCGCGCCCATCGGCACGCCTAGCCCGGAGCAGCCGCCTCCACGTCCTCGGCGCCGCCGCCTTCTCCCACCGCAGTGCGGTCTCCGAGCCCGCCTTTCCACTGACGCCATCCTCTCGCGTCCCGATTTCTCATGTACTCGGCTCTGAGCCCCCGGTGGGGCCTCCCGTCCCCCTCTGTCGCGCTCCCCTAGGAAACAGCAACCCACTGCCCACTCAGCCGCCCCGCGGCGGCTGGGCGTGGCTGGAGCGCGAAGCCGGGTGCGCTCGCTCGCTGGCGGTCACAGCACGACGCTTCACCTCGCGCCCCCGTGCCTCCAGAGCAACCCGACGCCCTCGTCCGCTTGCTCTCCCACCGGGGGGTCCTTCGCTTCTCTCTCCAACAGCCTCCACGGCTTCGCCTGAACGTTCAACTTCGCAGGGTTTTGAGGAGGGCGAGGCGCTGACGTTTGGGCGAGCCTGGGGACGCGAGGCGGGTGAGGCTGTCGCAGACGAGGCGCGGGGCCTGGCCGAGAGCGGGCGGAGAGGGGGCCTCGGGGGGCGAGACGCCCGGGCCGCAGGAGCGGAAGCCCGGCGCCACCCGGGCGGCCCCGGCTCCCGACCCGGCGGGCGCGGCGCCCAGCGCGTCCCTCTGGTGCACGACGGCCGCACAGCCCAGGCGTCACGGGCGACGGCGCGACGCCTTCGCGTCACTCCCAGCGACGGCGGCAGGGTTCCGTGACGTAATGCCACCGCGGGGCTCCGGGCCGAGGGAGGCCCCCGAGAAGCGCTCGGGCGGCGGCCGCACCCGCCCGGAGCAGCAGCGCGCGCACTGGGGACTCGGCGCCCGGGGGCGGGGCCTCCCTCCCGCCTCCTCCCGTGGCCCGGCGCTGTGCGCCGGCGCGGGTAGGCCGCCAGGACGCCGCGTGCACGCCTGCGCCTCGCGTCCTGACGCTCTACGTCGCCGCCGCCGCCGCCTGGGCGTCCTGACTTCCGGGCGCCGCGGCCGCCATATTGCTCGCGCGGAAGCGCCGCCGCTGGGTGGGGGTTCCGGAGCGGCTGCGTCGCGGTCGGTGAGGCCGCCGCTATGCCGTCGTCGCCGCTGCGGGTGGCGGTGGTGTGCTCGAGCAACCAGAACCGGAGCATGGAGGCGCACAACATCCTCAGGTAGTTGGGGCCTCCGCCCTGGCCCGGCGCGCCCTGTCGGACGCCGGCCGGCCGGCCGTCCCTCCGCGCCCTCCCCCCGGTCCTGCCCGGCCGCGCTTCCCGGCCCGGGCCCGTGTTGGGCGGCCGTCCCGCTCCCCGCTCCCTTAGGCCCGATGCCGGCGGCCGGGCAGGCGGGGCGGGGCGGGGCGAGGCGGCCGCCGGCGCTGGGCTCGCTGGTTCCGGGGCCGAGCGCAGCGCGGAGTCCACTAGGCTCGCTCGTCCGCGGGGCGCCCCACATGTTTCTCAGCGTCGCGGGAAAGTTGAGGTTTTGAGCCCGGCGGTTCCCGGTCGCTCAGAACTCTCGATAAACCCAAAGGCGTGGTGGGTTTGCCTCCGCTTTGCTGGCATGTCTGTGCGTCCGAAAACAGCGGACCTTCCGAGGCATTTCCACCCGGGGCCCCGAGTGCCGGGGCCGGGGTAGGAGTCCCCGAGGCGGTCGTGTCCGACGACGGTCTCCGGGCTGCTGGAAAACCCGCACTCCGTAACCTCGGGGTAAGGCAGGTCTTAAAAAAGCCAAAAGCCCCCAAACACCGGAACGGCCGATGTTGTTAACTCCGTGGATTGTGTGTTTGTCCCTGTCTACACGGAATCGTGAGCAGAAAAACGCCCTCCTCCCCAAAGCCTCCAGCCGCCGGCTTCCGGACTACGCGTGAGTTCGGTTTGCCCTTGTGGTTCGTATGTCAGTCCTGACGTCTTTCTGTGACCCTGGCGTTGTGTGTTTTTAATAAAAGTTTATCCCCGCTTGGTAAGTTTTCTCGTTCAAAATCACTTCGCAAAATGTGGAATTGACTGCTTGCGCCACAGTTGAAGTTGGGTAGACAGGTCAGCTCTGACGGGAAAGCGGAGCCGAAACTGCCTCTCTTGCCGAGGTTTCCCCATGGCATAAAGGACGACGGCGCCGCTCCTCTTCGGTACCACATTCCAACTTGAACTCTGCTCAGTAACTCGGAAAACCCAGGATTTCCTGCCCCTTCTCCTTTTTTTTTTTTAAAAGATTTTATTTATTTATTCATGAGAGAGAGAGGCAGAGGGAGAAACAGGCTCCCCGCGGAGCAGGGAGCCCGACGCGGGGCTCGATCCCAGGACCCTGGGATCATGACCTGAGCCGAAGGCAGACGCTTAACCGACTGAGCCACCCAGGCACCCCATTAAGATTTTACTTATTTGAGAGAGAGAGAGAGCACGAGCAGAGGGACAAGCAGACCCTGTGCTGAACATGGAGGCCAACAGCGGGCCTCAATCCCAGGACCCCGAGATCATGACCTGAGCCGAAGGCAGACGCTTAACGACTGAGCCACCCAGGCATCCCCCCCTTCTCCTTTTTTTAACGAAGGTAGAAGTGTCCGGGTTCCAGGATCTGCTAGTTAGTTAGGAGTCTGATTTTTCCTAACCTACCCCCACGCTGCCCACGGTATTCAGTTAATGCCATTTTTTGTTAGGATGGGATGCTTTGAACCTAACGATTCAGTGTGAAGGTTGTTTTTAAACGGAAACCTTTAAAATCGCAAACTTGTTTTAAAACGAGGAATGTGCTAGTATTAAGTTTACAGTCACTTAAAGTCCAGTAAACGTAAGGAAAAGAACGTAAGGTTAACACTCCCGGAAAGTTACTCAAGGAAAATGCGGTTTAACATCCTCAGTTAGGACAGTGATCTGGAGACGGCCTCCTCCTGCTGGTTCTGGCTGGCGGGCTGACATAACGGAGTTGAGATGAAATCTGACAAAAGAGAATGTTTCTGACTTGAAGCAGCTTTGCAGTGAAGCCAGTTCCGAAACTTGCCCATCTGATACTTCCCTGAGAGGGCACTACAGGCGACATGTCCTTGTGTGGCTCACAGCAGCGGTAGCCGGCACAGCACTGGGTCTCCTTTGGAAATGGGGGCACAGAGGAACCCCTCCAAATAATCGGCAAGTCGAAGTGCTTAGGTGTGCTTGTACCCATTTTACTGTGTTTCAGATTTAGTCAAAAAGACTCAGAACGAAGGCAAAAGAGGTAAGTTTAGGGTAGCCTGTATTATTGACATCGTGAATGTGACATTAATGTAGACATAAGTCTTCAATTGCTAAAATACCTATACCTGGGGGATGTTTTCCTTTGTTAGAAAATAGTGTTTGTTTATAAAAAGATCTCTCTGTAAACAGAATACGTTGAAGAATGAGGCGACGACCGTTCCTCACAGGACCGGCGTGGCACCTTCTGGGTGTGTCCTGTGTGTACCTAAACTGAAGGGACATTAAAATGTTTGGTAATTTCTCTTCACATAGTGTTAGATTTTAGTTCTTATTTTGACGTATTGAATTTGAATACATTTATTCGTATTGAGTAATGGCAGCGGTTACAAAATCAGGATACAGTAATCCAGAGGAATTCTGTGCAGCAATTAATTTTGTAGCCAACCCCAGCCTAGTAGACATTTTGGCTGTTTTTTATCTTTCACTCTTAAAATGTCAACATCCTTGTGCCATATAAATATTTTTGCACAGTTTTCTGATGGTTTCCTTGGATGAATTCCTAGGGGTAGAATTGCTGAGTCAAAAGGTAGGCATATTTTACATTTTCATATATTTTGCCAGACTGCCTTCCAGAAAAGTACCTATTTATAGAATTCCTGTTTTCTCAGTCTGAGCATTATTTTCATTTTTTCACGCTGCTAGGGCAAAAGAGGATCTCACCCTCCTTTAGTTTTGAAATAGCTATTGAGATGGAACAGGTTCTCATGTCATTTTCACTTTTGACAATTATTTGTGGCTTTATCTCTATTTGGATTATTTACAGCATTTAAAAGCATCTTTAGGAACTTGATATGGTGGTTTTGGTACTACCTGAGACCTTATGACCGTCAGGGCCTTACAGAGGATGTTTGTGAAACACAGGAAGACAAATATCAAAAGGAATGCAGTTAATTGAACCTGCACAGGGGGGTAGTTTTATTTTTTATTTTTATTTTTTTAAAAGATTTTATTTATTTATTTGAGAGAGAAAATGAGACAGAGAGAACATGAGAGGGGGGAGGATCAGAGGGAGAAGCAGACTCCCCGCCGAGCAGGGAGCCCGATGCGGGACTCGATCCCAAGACTCCAGGACCACGACCTGAGCCTAAGGCAGTCGCCCAACCAACTGAGCCACCCAGGCGCCCCTGGGGCGTAGTTTTGTTAATGAAACCTTTTTTATTTTTGCCCTATTGAAAATCAGCTTTGACTATTTTCTGACAAGTCAAATACAAATGGTAATAAATGTTGGCGTTTTTAGTCATAATGTTCCCTGGGGTGATCATTTTTGATCTTTTGAGACTAAATTGTTTCAAATACCAGCCCTGGGAGCTCTTTAGGTTTTTTAGGAGTGTTTTCCACACAGGCTTCTGTTATTTGTACACTGTAGATTGAGATTTCCCTTTGGAGCCAATTATTTTTTATTCAGAATGATCTAGATGTTAAGGGCATGTTGATTTTTGGAAGTTCTCTGATTGTAGCCATTCAAAACAAATTTTAAAGACAGACTTCTGCATATTGCTGAACTGAGTTTTCAAGTCTCTTTTCAGTCCTAAGGCAGTGTGATTTGGGGAACATGAGCAGAGGCTGCAAATGAGGAAACCAGGTTGAGAGTCAGTCTCTTGAGCTGCTCTCTGTCAGGTGCTTTCTAAATGCCATTTGATTTCATCCACACTTAACACAGGTGAGAAGACAGTACCCAGAACAGGCAGCCCTTGCTTGTGAGTGACAGTAAGGATTTGGACATAAAGGGCTCTGGTTATGATGAGTAACAGCTGAGACTCCAGATGGGAAAAGCATGGGCTGAAGAAGGGGCTAGGGTGAGGGGAGGGCAACAATCAGCTTAAGGTCCCATGGTTCTCCAATTTGGGATAGGGCTCTCAAATCATGACCAGAGCATGTGGGCTCCCAGCCACACTGTGTTTGCGGCAAGATTGGATGTCCTCTCTCAGATGGGACCAAGTCTCAGGCTGCTTCTGGTTGTGCTGTAGGAGTATGCCCAGTCATAGTGCCGAACCTAATGCCCTGGTCTTGGACCCATTTCCGGAAGTCTCTTGTCCTTTACTAGGGAGGGATAGTCAGTTATGCCCTGAAGCCTCTCTGCCTGCACCTTTTGATATTTTGGTTCTAGGTATCCTTGAAGAAAGGAAACTGGGAACCATTTAAGAAGGTGAAAGGATTAGAAATCATGACTTTAAGAATGGCAGAGAATGCAGAAGAGGCGCCTACAGAGGAACACATTTGCCTTCCTAGGTTTTAAGGGACTGCGTTGTTTTTTATCTTCAGGAGGCAGAACTAAAGTGAGGAGGATGGGTGGAGGGGGGTCAGTTTTTGTGCAAACATGGATTCAAAACTGGGTAGACCAGGGTAACAGCACCAACAGCTAAAACATTCTTTGCTGCATCTCCAGTCTTTTACAGATGAGAACAGGTGGAGCCTAGAGCAGGGAAGATTGTTCAGCAGTTTCACACCTGTTAGTAACACATCCACTTAGGGTTGGAGCAGGAAAGCAGCACGTTGGTGGTCGTTTGTCGCTGGACCATCCTAAGTACCAGATCTTGAGGGCCTGCTGTGCCGGCCCTGGGTAGAGGGGGGACACTGGACAGGCTGACAGCAACCAGCAAAGCAAGGTGGCCAGCAAGAAGCCGAGGTTGAGGAAAAGCAGCTGTGGAGGGAGAGATGTCTAAGCCGGGGTGCTGACTGGGGGGGGCTAAACATAAAGGCACACTTGTCACAAGCTTGACACAATGATCTCATGCTTGGCTGCTCAGTTTTGTTGTTGACCTTGTAGGAGGATAAGAATAAGGTGTAAACCCTAGAAAATATGTACTGAGATGTGTCTACAGCCCATGTTTAGCAGGTGATGATGTGAAGTTTACTGGCGCACTCACATTTCAGAAGAATTCATCTTGCGGTCTTCTGGCTGTGGTACAGTGACGTTGTGGGTAGGCCCCCGAGTGCGATGGCTTGTGAGCGGTTGGTTTGTGTTCTGTAAGTGTGAGGTCGTCACGTAGCAGCAGCGAGTGATGTGCCTGTAGGGAAGGTGACCTGGGATTGCGAGTGCATCGCGCCCTACTTAGAGTCACTGTGTGCTTTCTGCAGTTTGGCTGGAGGTCTAGGATTTCAGTCTTGGCCAAAAAAAAAAAAAAAATGCTTGAAATTGATTAATCATCGCATTATGGGAAACAGAAAACATAACGTAACCCATGCTGTTAACTTGGATGTTTGCTTATGATCCTTTTTGATGTTCATTTGAACGTCATCATTTTACCGTTAGCCATTGGGATAACAATGGAAACAATTCTCTTTCCCAAAATTTGACATTTTCTGTGATAGGTTCTTTATGATAGGGTTGTTGGTACTTGTAAAGACATTTGATAAACATTTTGTCTGGAAGCTTAGTTAAACATACAAAATAGTTGGCCCTTGAGACGAGGCCTCTAGGTTGTCAGGAATGTTTTTATGGCAGTGGTGCTTTTATGTAAGACAGTTGTCACGCTGCAGGTTGGGCTGCTCTGTCAGTTGCATCAGTTTTGAAGAAACGGCGCTGCTGTTGCTAATTAGCCTTTTTGCCACTTGGGAACATTCTTTTTTTTTTTTTTTTTAAATATTTTTTAGAGACAGACACAGCGAGAGAAGGAACACAAGCTGGGGGAGTGGGAGAGGGAGAAGCAGGCTTCCCACGAGCAGGAAGCCCGATGCGGGGCTCGATCCCAGGACCCTGGGGTCATGACCTGAGCCGAAGGCAGACGCTTAACGACTGAGCCACCCAGGTGCCCCCACTTGGGAACATTCTTTTGGGGGAAGAACAAACTGCACTTCATTTTGTTTTTAAATATACTTGACTGCCATTTCAGAAAATTGGGGTGGGCGGTGAGAGGCCCCTAGACTGTTTCTAATGTCGGGGGTCAGCTGACTTCATTCAGAGTCGCCCCTGTCCCTTTGGAGATCCAGCAGTCACCCCCTCGGAAGCCTTGTTAAAGATCAGCCAGGTGGAATGTTGGGCTAGATTATCTTTGGGATGATCTACTTTTACGGATATGAACAGACTAAAGTGGAGAATCTTCCACTTGGACACCTAATGCAAGCCTCAACCTACTGTGACAGAAGATGTGTAGAAGAGATAGGTGGGCCTGCCAGGTGGCATCGTCCAGGAGATTCAGACTCGGGCTGCCCCAGCAGGATGGGGGATGTGAGTCCCTGCACCAGGGGCTCTCCATCTGGAGCCTCCCAGGAGCCCTGTGGGTAGGTTTCAGGTGGCCTGTCTGCCCTACCCCAACCTGAAACACCCAGGGCCCTGTCCAGGGTCTCTGCATCACGGGGTGTGTGCTGTGAAGCACTCTGAGGTGCCCTGTCTCCTATTTCCCACTCCCCCAGGACCCCGTCTGCTCCTGCCCTGTGGCTTTTTCCATCACTGTCCTCTCACTGTCCTGTGTACCGGACGCTTTACCTACTTTGTCGCCCCCCCCCCCCAACTGTCGAAGAAGAGGGAGTTGGGTCTGTTTGGATCACTGTTGTATCCCCAGCACATAGTAAGCTCTAGGAAACATTGTTGAATCAAAATGGAATGGTAAACCTGCCACCAGTGGAAGGGGTGGTGGTTTTTAGTTTTTGAAGCTTTAGTCCCATCCTTGGGGGTCTTATTTCTGTGGGCTCTGTGGCTTCATAGCACACGTCCCTCCTTTCCCCCGCCTGCTGGAGAGGCAGTGCCTTGACATACGGGTATTGGGTGTGCGACTGGCCCAGTGCCCTCGAAGTACACCAGCCCTGGACGCAGGTGAAATAGTCGGTGGAGTTGGCTTACCAGCGCCCAGGATACTTGTGCCGCTTCTGGGCTCCTTGCTTTTCCCTGAGTCACACAGGGAACTCAAAGGAGACTTGAGGGCTGGCAGGCTTCGAGGAGGGTCATGCTGCCGACCCAGGGTTAGTCTCAGGAGCGCATGTGATCGAGTGTCAGAAACATTGGTTATCTTGAGGGTTGTTTCAACGGTTCAGGTATACGTGGGCCTTGGTTTGCTAACCAGAAATCTGCTGTTAGCTGTGCTCTTTGTCACGAGTGATGTTCTGGGGCCAGCTTGCACAGCTTGGACTTTAGCGACGCAGGCACGTGACTCAGCTCTTACCAGCCTCAGAGGACTTGGGTGAGGTGTTGAAATGAAACGTGACAAGAATGCTCTTTTTTTTTTTTTTTAAGATTTTATTTATTTATTTATTTGAGAGAGAGAATGAGAGACAGAGAGCATGAGAGGGAGGAGGGTCAGAGGGAGAAGCAGACTCCCTGCTGAGCAGGGAGCCCGATGCGGGACTCGATCCCGGGACTCCAGGATCATGATCTGAGCCGAAGGCAGTCGCTTAACCAACTGAGCCACCCAGGCGCCCCGACAAGAATGCTCTTGAAGATTACTGTTCCGGTGTGTGCTTACTCGGTACTTCGTGTAGGTGCCAGGTGTGGGGGCTTCTCCTCCTCCGGGGACGCGGCGCCTCCCGGGCCTCTGTGCTGCTAGAGCTGGACGTGTTTCCACTCTTCACTTTTCCTGTGAATAATTGCAGATTTGTGGTGTGTGTGGCACCCCTCACCTTCTTCACATTGGCAACAGGACCCTGCTGGGTGGAGGGACACGCAGGTTGGCTCTTGTCTTTGGTTACATTCGGGGCTGCAGGAAGTGTCCTTCGGTGGGGCCGTTTGCAGATGTGTCTGCACGTGTCCCGTAGGATGGACTTGCAGAGTGGAGGGGACAGCGGTTTCCACTTGCTGGATGTTGGTGCCTTCTCCAGAGGCTCGCGAGTCCTCCGAGTGAGGTTTCCCTCCCGTGTATAATTGTTACTCATTTGCCGTTTGCCCGATACTTATGTGCCTGCTGTGTGCTGCTCTGGGTGCTGGGGACAGAGCAGTGAGCCGAAGGGACGATGTCCTTACCGTGTGGCGCTGATGAGGCAGTGGGAGAGTGCTAACCCATAAGCAGACTTTGACCTTTATAGGGTGCATCTCTTACGATGAGTGAGATGAAGCTGTTTCCTTCCCTGTGACTTTTAGGCCCATACCTTTTCCCCTCTGTGGGGTTTATTCATTTCATTCTCTATGTCAGGGTGTTCTCCACGTTGTCGCTGTTGACATTTTAGATTGGAGGGCTGTGGTTTAGCAGCCTCCCTGGCCTCTGGATGCCAGGAGCACCTCTCTGTTGTGAAAACCAAAAATATCTCCAGACATAGTCAAAACCTAGAAAAGCTTGAGACTGTTATCACGGGGATTTCAGAGCCAGATGGGCCTGTGAGAAGGATGGAGGCACCAGTGGAAACGTGTGTTCTCCGCGAGTCCTGCCGCCCGGGAAGTTCCTTCAGATGCAGAAGTTAACATGGTTTACAGATAGAGAGCTGTGATGAGAAGGCTGGTCTTTTTCAGACGCTTTTAACGCTTAAAAATTTTATTGACTCTGAGTTTGGAAGCTTGCACGTTCTACGCCAGACTAACTTTGGCACGGGACTGCAGCCGACCCGAGAGAGGTTATCCGTGGTGACAGGGCACCATAGGCCCTTATGTCTGTGAGGTTTGTTTTCAGATGACATTTGTTACAGTGCAAGTTGTCACTCACGGGCCGCACTTCATGCACACTCCCCGGGTTTGTCAGGAGACACATTTGGTCCCTTCTCTCCCCTTGGACTCCAGGTTACAAGAGTCTGCACAGCAGCTTGGGAGCTGCTTGTTCTGGAGCCTTGTGGCCGACGTGACCATGTAAGAGGCTGTGGGGGTGCCCCCGTGGGCCCGATGCCCCTGGGCTCTCAGTTCTGGTTTCCCGGCAAGCTCCGGCTCACAGGAAGTCGGGACTGGACGCGTGGCGCATGCTCCCTGTGGTGGCGCGGGCTGTCACGTCTGTGGGAGTTTTGTAGAAGTCACACACTAGGCGGTCCTGTGAACCTGAACCCTCTGCAGAGGTCAGGGCAGTGGTCAGGTGTGTTCCAGAGGAAATCTTGCCTAACTCTGCATGTCTGTGGGGCCTCTGAGGGTCAGAGAGGTTCTGGAGGGATGCAGTGAACAGCTGTGGTGCTCACACGCCACCTTGTAATGCGTTAGCAGGCCCTTTGTCTTCTGTCTCGACTGGTTTCATCCAGTTTTTGTGTAATATGTTACAGGATTTTTTCTAAAGATTTATTTATTATTAGAGCACACGTGCACACACGTGAATGGGGGGAGGGCAGAGGGAGAGAATCTCAAGCAAACTCCCCGCTGAGCGCAGAGCCTGACACAGGGCTGGATCCCACGACCCCAAGACCATGACCTGAGCTGAAACCAAGAGTCGGACGCTCAACCGAGTCACCCAGACGCCCCAGTATGCTATAGGATTTTTAAAAATTTGTGACGAAAATGCTTAAAGTTAAGAATTTAAAAACATGTCCGTAGTATCAACAGTGACTCGTTTTGTCTACTTTCCATTTCACATTCCTTGGTTTTAGAATTTTGTGTCTTAATCCAACTGTGATTTTTTCTTCTCTGCTTCTTTGTCTTTCAGCAAACGGGGATTCAGTGTCCGGTCCTTTGGAACAGGAACTCACGTGAAGCTCCCAGGACCAGCGCCCGACAAGCCAAATGTTTATGATTTCAAAACTACATATGATCAGATGTACAATGATCTCCTTAGGAAGGACAAAGAACTGTATCCCAGTGGGTCGCCCTTTCAGAAACCCCACATGCTTGTCTCTGGAGGTGTCATCTGACGTGTGTGTCACTCTGCCCTCCAGTTCAGGGGTGCCTGTGACACGTGCTTAGCGGCTGCCTCTGCGTGGTGTGCTGAGTCCCGGCACACGTGACGCGGAGGTGGACGTGTAGGGCACGCAGGTGCAGACGTGGAGCCTGTGTTGACAAGGTGAGGGCGGGTTCCGGCGTAGCTTCAACAGGGCAGCGTAGGTGAGGAAGGCAGAAACCACAGGGTGGAGTTGCTTTTCGCACTGCAGGGCTGCCCGCTGCTCCCCTCCACCCTCCGCCCTCCGCAGGTAGGTGTGCGAAGGCACACGTAGGCAGGCTGCCTCACACATCTCTGCCATGTTTGCTACCAAAGGAAGCATGTTAGAAGCACATAATTTGAGAGAACTTCATTTCAGGAAGAGGCAAAACAGACTGGATCTGCTACTTAAGACTCATGTGAAAGAAAGGTATTTTTTTATTATTCTTCATTTTGAGAGAGAGAGAGCGTGTGCCCAAGCGGGAGGTGCAGGGGGAGAAGGAGAGGGAATCCCAAGCAGACTCTGCGCTGGGCACAGAGCCCACCGTGGGGCTCAGTCTCACGACCCTGAGATCACAACCTGAGCTCAAACCAAGAGTCGGACGCTTAACCGTCTGAGCCATCCAGGCGCCCCCAGAAAGGTATTTTTTAAACAAGTGTTATGAACGTGGCATCAGGCCGTACAGTGGCTCAGATCATTGTTGCCTGGCCTTTGCTTGGGGCGCTTCATGATCGCCCATGCTGCTTTGGGACTTCTGGGTCTCCTTGTTACAGTGAGGGACTTCTGGTTCTCAGGACGGAGCCCAAACATACGCCGAGTGAGAGGAGTATAAACACCAGAGAGAAAACCCTGTCCTCATGTTGGTGCTTTTGCAATTTTTAATAAACTACACGTGTTTTCTGTAAATCTATAGATTACTTAGTGGGGAGTGTGGCCCCAAAGGTCATTCTAGCAAAGTGTAAAACTGGACCCCGACAGTCACTCCATATGGCCCCGGTGCTCTCCTCTCTCTCCTACAATTAGAGAGCTGTCGGGGCGTTGAGGCCGAAGTGCCGTAGTGGGGCATGTGGGGCTGTCTGTGGGAGGCGGGAGTCCAGGACTTGCGGTGCGGCATCCCCGAGGTCGTCCTGGGAAGTCCTGGGTGCCCCCCTTTCCCAGAAGCCGCAGAGCCTGCGTATTTCTGGTGAGCTGTGCGCTGGTCTTTGTATCGCAGGGCCATGCACGGCTCACGTCCTTGGGCCAAGAGGGAGGGCCGGGCTCTGGCTCCGCTAGAGGCAGCATCTCGGAAAGGCTGCTCTCCCTGAAATTCTCCTTTGTGTTGAGAGCCGCCCTTAAGCCTTGCAGGGAAGTGTTGACCACTAGCCCCTTATCCTGGAGAAACCTGTGACCTTAACCCCAGGTTTTTCTAACTTGCTACGAACTCTTCATGTGTCTTTAAGCTTATCTCGAGACTGTGTCTGTTTTTGAAGATTCTTCAGCTAGCACCATTCATTTTTAAACTCGTACTCAACGAGAGAAACAACAGATGATAACGCACTCATCATACTACCTTAGTTATTACAAATGAGGCCTTCTGACATTGGAGCTGACCGTGATCTTTCTGTTTCTAGGAGTGGGCAGCACTTAACCACTTTTTAAGACTGGAACAAGAGGGATTTGGAGTAGAAGGGTTGATGTGCGTGTCTTAGCAGTTCTGAATGAAGGAGCAGAGACCATATATATGCTCAGAATTCAGAATCTCCTTTGTGGGCTGACCTCGTACAGATGCACGGTCTCCCCACGGAGCATCTAGTCCAGGAGACGGCCACACATCGTGGGGAAGGTGTGGTGGTTGGGGGACATGGCTGTTCCCACTGTCACCAGCAGTATTTGCCTCCTGAGACCCTGCGTAGGAAGGTCGCCTTCACGGACCTCCCCTTTTGATTACCCCTCATGAGGCTCTGGGAGAGAGACACCTTTGTCGGTTTGTTGACTTCACTTGGGTGGGATTTTGTCCTCTAGGAAGGGTGCCGAGTACAGCCCTGGGCCAGTGAAGAAGGGGCATCTGCTCCAGCTGGGTCGGTGTGCACACTGGCAGGACTCTGGGGGCGGGGGCACAGGTCTTTCACGCCTGAGGGGAACAGAGGGAAGGAGGCGGTGGAGGAGGATGGGCTGTGTGTTGGGAGTCGACACCTGGCTTGGGAGGTGCCCCGAGGACACGGGAGGGGAATACCTGACTAGCGATGGCTGTGGGGGGTGCCCTGGTGTTTTGGTCGCTTCTGCATTGGCATCTGAGACAAGAAGCAGAGAAGCACTAGAAGCCAGGTCTGTAACCTAGAATACTGGGGCTTCTGTGGAGGCCGGGAGGTGAGGCGGAGTGGCCTGGTGGCAGGCGTTGGGCTCCCCGTGTGTGCGTGCACAGCGCTCCTGAGGCTGAGTGTGGGGCCCTGACGTTATTAAGCTCTCAGTACGTTTTGGCCAGTGGTCCTATTTGTGTGAAAGCACCTTATTTCTGAAACTGTTTGGCTCTTTGTAGGTGGTTTTCCCTGTGGTTTTCTGTGAGCAGGGTGGGCCTCGGCAAGCGCTGGCCTGCGGTCCCTGCAGGAGGACCTGCCCCTGGGAGACCGAGGAGGCCAGGGACGCGAGTTGGGTTAGAAACCTTGTCAAACTAACCCTAAACTAATTAGTGAAGCTAGACTGGGCTGGTTACCAGTTCCCTGTGGGGATTATCTACTGTAGTACAGGGAATCCAAGTTGGCCTGACCCTGCGCAGGCCACCGGAAACGTCCGGTTTCTCTCTAGCCAGGGGTGCCGTGGGTTTTATACAGAAGAGCGGTGTTGGGAGAGAGTCCACGTAGCGGGTGAAGTGCAGTCCGTGGGCGCCAGTGTGTCTCACGGGGCTGTGCAGCCATTGCCACGGCAGATTCTAGCACATTTTTAAATCTTACTTAAATTCAGTTAATTAACACAGTGTATCATTAGTTTCAGAGGTAGAGTTCAGTGATTCGTCAGTTGTAGACCACACCCCATGCTCATTCCATCACGTGCCCCCCTTCATGCCCGTCACCCCATTCCCCCTCCCCCCCCATGAAGACCCCCTGCCCCCAGCAACCCCGGTCTACCTTCTGTCTCTGGGTGTGCCTCTCCCACATGTTTCCTACACACGGAGCCCTGCAGCGTGTGGTGTCTTCTGGAGTGGGCTCCCCCCAGCATGTTTTTGAGGCTCACCCATGTGGTGGCGAGGATCAAGCTATTTTTAAATGTAATCTTTTTTCTCTTAACCTTTTTGTCTTCCTTTGCCTTGGAGTTATTTTGAATACAGAGCAGCCTTAAACTTGGTGTTTTGCCCTGTGGGCTTCAGCACAGCTCCCAGGGTAGACTTCTGGAGTTTTTCTCCTTTTCCTTCCGGAGCCGTGCACCAGGCTGGAGCTGCCCTGGGCTACCCTCACTGAGGGAGCGGAGTCTGCAGCTGAACCCTCAGCCTGCCTGGAGGACCCTCGCCGGAACGAGAACATTGTTCCTTCTCCATGTATGAAGGGCCCGGCTGGGGCCTCACGCACAGGATCACTGGGCCCCGGAGGCGGGGGGGGGGGGTTCTGCATGAGGTGTGATGGGGAGCCCATCTCAGAGCTTTCAGTAGATCATCGCTTTGGGAACTACAAAATCACTTATCTTAAAAAGCAAGTAACTATATCTTTAAATAATAGTGGGATTTTTAATACGAGAGACCAGTTGCTCCTTAAACTCTTGATTGGAAACACAAGTAGAACGAGCACTTTCTGGGATCCTGACTTTGTCGGCGCAATTAGGAGACACTTGGGAGCCTGTATCCAGCACACTTTCCTAATTGTTCTCCCATCTTTTGTACTCACCTTAGGGATTTAGCCTTTTTTAAACCACATACTCATTTTCATCCTCTGGCTGTGCTGTCTTTTAGGCCTTGGGCTACTGTATGTGTGCAGGTGACCCCGAGCGACACAGGTGTGCCCTGCACAGGGCCACGGATGGGCAGTTCTCTTGATGATCCAGCACAGCCCTGGAAATGTCTTTTCTCATGATTTCCTTAACATTTTTTCTCCATATTACTTTATTCTAAGAATAGAGTATGTGATGTCTGTAAACTGTCTTCGTGCGCTGTTGATGTTATCAGTGAGGTTTCTGGTCAACAGTGGGCTGTCAGGTTTTTGGAGAGTCAGTCATACTTGGATTTTCGTCTGCAGGGGGCGCCCCTCACCCCGGTGTTGTTCAAGGGTCCGCTGTATGTATACCCGGTTCTTCACGGTGCACTTTTTCATGCTTTGGGGTAAAAGCTGAAAATAAAGATGATTTCTAAGATTGTAGATCCCCACAGCCTCCTGATCCCTGTTGTTCTGCAGTAGGGCCACTGGCCTTTTCCTTTTGTTGGGGTCTCCCCGGGCTCTTGTTTGAAGCTCAGCGTGCCTTCTCCTGCTGGGCCTGTCGTGGGAACGGTTCCTGCAGCTCAAGCCCGTGCTTTGTTAACCTGCCCCCAGACGGCTCGCCGCCCTTGAGGTGTCGGGCGCTGTCTTCGCTTCCGCCGTATCATCGGATCCTATCTTGTTTCACGCTGGTTGGCAGCTACGTTTTTAAGTAGTTTTTGAAAACAGTGTTCATCTGTTTAACAAATGAGCATGTTCCTAAGCCAAACACTGATCTCTAGAGAAACTCTCTTCTAGTTTTGCTGATATTTAAGCTTTCAGGTTTTAGGAAAGCACTCGTGTTTTAAAAATATAAATCACGGCCTTAAGATACTCCAGAGGAGGCAGAAGAGCCGCCATCATGTCTCATCTGGGGAGATGCCAGATGTTGAACAGAGACGGCTGGGTAGCTGCCAGGGGTCACTTGCGCGTCTGGGCGTAACAGAGCCACGCTGACCTCGCCCACGGCTTCCAGAGCTTGCCCAGGGCAGGGAACGGACCTGGTCTTCCCAGCCCACGGTAGGTGAGATGCTGACACCAGGCGTGTTGAAAGTGGGTTATGTGAAGTAGATCACACCTGTGGTTTCACATTGTCTGATAACCTCACAGGTGGTGGGAGGAGGACACTGTAGACCAGCCAGGACTCCTGGCCGCCGAGCCTCATGGTGGGGCAGCCGCTAGGATGGGTTCCTGTGGCTCGGGAGCTGACTTTGAAATTTCCTCCAGGGGTTCCCAGGTTCTCGTTTGTGCAACCCATGTGCTTTGCAAAAACTGCTTGGATTTCCAAAATGAATTTATTTCTTACTAGAAGGAAGTCCTAGCTCAAAAGCTTTTTATTTAGTGGTTCTCAGAGTGTGGTTCTGGGATTCCAGCTGTCCCCACAGCCCTTTCAGAAGATGCCAGGCTCAAAGCTGTTTGCTCTTTGCCTTTCCCACTCTCCCTCAGTGCGCCAAGGGCTCTGTCTGAGGCTCCCACCTACCGCCAACCAGTCCTCCCTCTGGTGGCTGGTGGGCTGTGTTTGTATTGTTGTGAAGACCTGCAACAGCCCCGGGGTGGCCCCAAACCTGCCCCCTCCCGGAAGCACTGGGCTCTGCCTCTCCAGCTGTCTTCTTCCTCTCAGGACAGGGAGGAAGGGGGACAGTCAGAGGTGCTGGGTGCAGTGGGTCCCTGTGAGGCCTGTGGAGACCAGACCTGCGGGCTGTGGTGAGGCCACCGTGTGCCACTCCTGTCCTACAGTTTGCCAGCTTAAGAGCAGCCGTAAGAAATCTCTTCCTTCCATACTCTTTAGTGCTTTGCCCTGAAAACGGGCTGAGGGGTGTCTCCTGTATCCATACAGGTCAGGGGTGGCCCGGGTTCCCGCGTGTCCCCCTTTACTTGGGCCTTTCCTCCTTGCCCTCTGCTTGGTAGCACTTGGCATGCTTCTACATGTGTGGTCTCCTTTGGCCTTTCGCCCCTGAATCTAAACTCGGGCTGGCGCGGCCTGTGGCACGTAGCCAGCGCTGGATGGTGGAAATCAGGTCAGCTGCCGTGAGCTCTGATGGGGGTGGGCTCGGTGGGCATGTGGGAGTGCATGCTCTTCCCAGGGCCGGGGGGCCTGGCCAGGCCTTGAGCGGGAGGACGTGCAGGGGGTTGAGTGGGAGGGCTCCAGGGAGATGCCAGGCCGAGCAGGAGGTGTGGGTCTGGGTCCCAGTGGTCCTTCCAGCGACAGGCACGGCTTTTCCACCAGCCTCGGGGGCCGAGTGCCCACTGAGGGAGCCCCGGTGGAGACGCTGCTCCAGCTGCGTCCCCCTTGGTACAGACGACTGCATTTGGGAGTGTAGAGTGTAGGCACCACATCAGGGCGTCGTCCTGCCCACACTGTGTCGCCAGCAGATGCCCTCAGCCCTCTGTCCAGAAGGGGCTCCCAGTGGGTGTGTGACCTCTAAAACAAGGAGCCTCGTCAGAGTGCCTTGGAGGACACACATCGTGAAGAGTGGGAAAGAACTGTCATCGGCACCTTCGTCGGGGTGGGCCTGGTTGCTGCCCTGGCCCCAGAGCAGGTCTGAGCCACACGTTCTGCGCCTGGACGATGGGCCTCTTCCGGGACAGCAGCCGTCCCTGTCCCAGCCCCACTCAGGGCACACCGGGCATCACCATTACCCCCAAGAGTAAGATTTTGAGGTCTTTATAAGGAAAAGCCCCTGCCAGGCCCTGTTTCACGCAGTTCTGGGTGCATCCCAGGTAGCGGGAGATGCTCAGTGACGCCCTTCTCTCTCCATGGCCTCTGCTCAGCTTGGATTTCTGCTGATGGTGACCCTCGCCGTCCGCTCATCCTCGGCCACGGATGTTCTCCCTACTGGCTGTTCCCGCTGTCCCCAGAGGCCTGTGGCTCTGGCCTCCCCTGCTGGTCCCCATGAGGAGTCCGCTGGGGGCAGGTGGGTTGGTTTACGGTGACCATTGGCCCCTTGGATGGACTCCTCATCCTCCCTCCGAGGTAGACAGGTTTGTTGTGCCAAATGCGTTGTTTGGACGGTGTCGCAGCTGAGCAGGGGCGGGGTCAGGCGGGGACCGTTTCAGCTCAGTGACCACCCTGGGCTTTGTTTAGTTACTGTGTCCTGTTCCGGCTTTTGGCTTACCTTTTTTTTTTTCCCCTTTTTTAAGCTTCTTAAATTTTGTGGTAAGACAACTATTTTTCTTTAAATCACTTAAGTAACTAGAATTTCAGTGAGGAAGAGGGTCTTACTTTTCCCTTGTACTCGGTTGCAGTAATGTTGGACGTCTGGGTTGCTGCAGACTGTTCCCAGCCCGCAGGCTGCTGCCTTCCGCCGGCAGAGCTCCGCGCGCGTTATCCCCGCGGTGGCCGCCATCCCCTGCTGCTGGACTCAGCCTTCCTCCCCACGGGGGGCTTGGTTGGGACTTAGTCCAGTCTCAAACCATTTATGTAGAAAAGACATGGTATTGCAGACTAAATTCATAATTTTAAAACTTTTTTTCAGAAAGTTTCAAAAAGTACGTGTTCACTAAAAGTCTTCATCTTCAGGCTCAGCTTTTTGTTTTGAGGTTAAAATTTTTATAAAATTAAACAGCTGGGGATAGGTGCGCGTGTCTGTGAAACAGAGACTAAGGGGGGGTTGCCCAGCCAGCTCCGTTGGTGGAGCTGTGACTCTTGATCTCCGGGTTGAGACTTTGATCTCCATGGTGGGCGTAGAGCCTGCTTTAAAAACACACACACGCACAAAGTATTTTTCCCACTGTAATTTATTTATTCAGCCATGTTATTTTAAAAAGTTTTTTTGGCGACCATTCAAATTTAAGTGAATACAGTGTTTTACCCTATCTGGACAGGTGGTCATCTACTACTTCTGTTATTTAAAAGTCTCCTATAACTTACTTAAACTCAGCCTTGCTGGACCGTGCATTACGGTGGACCCTTGTCATCTGCTCACATCTGCCGACTTACAGCGGCCAGGAGTGAGACCCTCTCTCTCTCTAAAGCTGGACGAGCCTCAGGCGAGGTCCTGAACTTTGACCCCGCTATCCCCATCTCCAGGTTTTGGAGCAGGTGGCTGCCGGCACGAAGGATCGAAGAATTGTCCGGCCAGTACTTTGAGACCCCGTTCAAAGGGGGGCGTTTCCTTTGAAGAAATGGGATGGCTTAACCCTCCCCTCCACAGTCGCCGATGCTTGGTGCAGATCAGCCGGAGGGGAGCAGAAACTGCTGTGCTGCGTGGGGGGCAGTCTGTCCACGCGGGGCAGCCGGCACCTCCCAGAAGCATCTGTTCCAAGCAGCACAGCTTGCAAAGTGCCAGCTTAGGCAGATCAGGCAGCATCTTTCTGCGCGCCCCGAGCCAATCACTCAGATGAGACGAGAGCTGCCCCCTCCTCAGAACTGGAACGGTCCCCAGTGAGGCTGGGGGCCGCCCTGGACGATGCTGCGACTGGGGCTGCTGCCACAGGCACGTGCACAGCGTGATCGCAAACGCAGAGGCCTTCGTCCCAACACGTTCTCTGCCAATGTTAGCCCAGCAAAAGGGACTTCGCCGCCACTGCGATTCTGTGTGCGGTCGTGGGCGCCTCTGCCTCGGTGTGCCTGCTGTTGGTCCCTGCTGCCCGCGGGCCTCGCCTCCCAGGCCTGGGTCCCCACTTAGAGCACTCGCATCGCCACGTGGCAGGTTGGTGGCCCCGGGAGGCCTCAGATCCCCACACCCTGAATGTGCAAACCCAGAGGCTTGCTTTCCTAATGTTCTTTATTTTTTCACCTGAGTAACATTTGTGCCTAAAAATGGTGATGTTGACATCTCCTGGCGGGCTCCCGGGGGCTGTGTTCTCCGGGAGGTGCCGAGCTCGTGTGTCTGCAGGGTCCATTGTGTTCCTCACTGTTCGCTTTGGGGACGTGGCCATTTGACTAACGTGAAATGATCCTGGAAGGTCCGCGAGGAGGCAGGCGTGTGACTGCCACTGCCTGTGGTTCTTGGGGTTGTGTTTTTAAAGAGGCCTTCGACGAAGCCCGGGAGGTTTTGTTCCAACAGATTCTCGGTGACACGGCCCACACAGCGTCCGGCCCTGGGCGTGTGGGGCCGGGCACCGCTTCACGCTGTGGCCCTGAGCGGACCGTCCTGGCCGCGCTGTGTGGGCCGGGGGTCGGGGGGGCAGCCACCCGTGTGTCCACTGAATGCTGGAGCTCGCGGGGCCGCAGGCCCGCCCCATTCACACCTCAGTTGGTGCTGATTTGAAGTGAAGGCAGAAATGTTGCAACTACATGATCCTGAGATCTGAACTAAACACTAATTGTTCCTGTGATGGGTGGGAAGACCCAGTTCCCCGTTGAGGGGCTGCCCTTCCACCGGGTACCTGCAGGGCAGCAGGTGCCTAAAAGACTCCAGCTGCATGTAGGGGGTTCCCTGGACGCCTCCCCCCCTTCTCACGTGTTGCACACTCCAGAGGGAAGCCTCGGGGGCAGGAAGGGGTCCCGGTGGATTCTTGAGGCCAGCAGAGAAGAGAAGAGAGAAGGGCAGGCTCCTGACTGAGGGTTCTAATTTCTTGGGCCAGGGAGTTTTCCCTCGTCGTGGGTTTGGGATTGGGAGATTGCCCTGGGCTTCCCGGGAGCATGGCCCTGCTGACCTGGATGCTGTATTCTGTCCTCGAGCCTTTGGGGGGCTTTCAGAAGCTCCACACACCCCTGGGGCACAGCTGGCTGTCGTCCGTCTCGGGGCCATGGGCCTGGGTTCAGCACAGCGGCAACCCTCTCAGCGTCACCCACGCCCACAGCTGTGTCTGGAGTGGCCCCGGTGGCCCAGCCAGCAGGGCAGGTGGCTGGCGCTTGGGCACTTCTGAGCTGAGCTGCCTTTGAGGATCTTTCCCCAGAGGGGACTTGGGTCCCCACATAAGAATTCTTGTTCCATGTCTTATGTTTCCATTTGATCAAGCCTAAAATCGGAAGTAAAACTAGATTATAGGATTCAAAAAGATGAACAGGTTCTCTAGGTGTGGCCCACTCTTGGGAATCCTCAACTACATAGGATTTGGGTTCACATCCAAGGCCAGAAAGTGGAAAGACCTGAATTAGGCATGGCAGCGTTTGGGACAGCAGGTGGTGATACCCCACCGGTGTGTCCTCGGGGCTGTTCGCTCAGCATCTCTGAAATAGGCTTGCTTTTACTGGGCGAAAATCAGTTTGGTCCAGCCAGGGCCTGACCCTGCCGCCATGAGCATGTTAACCCCTATGGTGGGTGTAAGGGGAGCCCAGGGGCCCCCCAGGGTGAAGCTTCTGGCTTCCCCTGGTTGCAGAGTGGGAACACTTGGGGCCTGTGGGGCAGTGGCACTCTGACAAGGTCTGAATTGTTCGTTGGATGGTTAAGACCCCCGAGTGTTTCAAGAGGATCCTTTCTGTGCTCCCTGTGGTGGGACACAGAGCACCAGGTCTCTCCCTGGGCCCTCCCACCCTCCAGGTGCCCCCAGATCTGTGCCGGCCTCGCAGCTGTGGGAGGGGGTGGTTGGACGGACGGACTCACGTGCTCCTTCACCTGTTGCAGGTGAGAGCATGAAGACACGTGCCTTCTGAAGGCCAGGGGCTAGGAGAGCATGGTGGCTCCTCGGCCTCAGACCACGTTGCTCAGCGGGGCGGGGGTGGGGGGCCTCACCCAGAGGTCTGCATTGCACAAGAGCCAGAATGCGTACCTGTGGCTTCATCCCCATCTCCTCGGCCTTCAGGAGGTATCTCAGGTTCATGTGGAGGCTGAAGCTTCACTAGGAGCCTCCCCCCGATCCACCCCAGGGCACTTTTGGTCAGGGTGCTGGGGAGAGGGGGCGCCCGCATGCCACATCCTATGCCCCCACCCACCTAGGAACCCAGTTTCCTAGTCCGGTCAAGGGAGCTCGTTTCTCAGGAGGGTGTGACCTGCTGGTGAGACTCTGGCCTCCTGCCCTGCCGTCCCTGGCGGCGCCGTCCTGCCTTTGGGAGTTGGCTGGCCGCTCACTCAACACGGGCAGCCAGGCTGGTGGCTGGTCCAGGCCTGTGTGTGCTGGGGTATCTCGCTGCACTCTGGTGGCTGTCACATCCTGTTCCTGTCCTCGCGTGGTTTCCAGGGGGGCTCTGGAGCGGCCGGTGGGTTTGTGGGTTCATCTCCAAGGGCTCCTAGCTTGTCCACTTCCACCTGGCCCAGCCCGGGCCTTGCATCACTGTTGTTTGCCAGAAGACAGTCCAAATGGGCTACTGTTGCTACTTTCCTCATCCACTGCTGAGGGTTGGGGTTTGATCCCTGAACTAGGCACTTTTTCTTTCGTTTGTTCTTCTTCTATATAAATCACTGAGGCTTAAGTAAAGGAGGGGCAGTTTGGCGGGGCCCTAGGGGCACTGCTGCGAGCGCCTAGTGGCCCCATCCCTCCTCAAGGGCGGGGCCTGGGAGCCAGAGGCGAGCTGCAAGCCGCATGCCCCTGGGTGGCGGTCTGTCTCCCGGGACGCGCTGGAGCTCGGCAGTCTTCGTCCTGCCGGCGGAGTTCGGGCAGCGGGACCAAGGGCCCTCCTGACTGCTTCGGCCGCCTCTGTCCTCCCTGTTCACACAGGGGCCTGTTCCGAGCCGTGTCTTCACACTGGACTCGGACGCCAAGCGCGTGAAGGGCCGAGTGCTGCTTGGCCTGCGTGTGGGCTCACAGCCGCCCCGGGTGGGCGCAGAGTGGGGCAGGGGGGTGGGGGCGGGAGGGGGTGGGCCGGCAGCGGGCCCAGCCCAGGGACATGCATCATGGGTGGGACGCTTGGCTAAAAAATGACCAGATGGAAAAGCACCTCCCGGCTAACAGTCACATGTCTTTTCAACTTAGAACTCTTCTGTAGACCGCTTGAATACATTCTGGAAGTTCTCTAGAAAGGCAGGAAATGTATTTTGAATAATAGGAGCTTAAGCAAATTGTTGTAACTTAACATCTGGGAAAGCCATTAAATGTATCACTCAGAAATCCTCAGTCAGCTAGTCTATGTCTCTTTAAACAGAATTAATGAGGTGCTTATCCCCAGCTGTCAGGAACGACCTTTAGAGACCATGGCCCCGTCTTTAGGGCCTTTGTCCCAGTCTCTTTGAGGGCGATGAACCCTACCCCTGGGGCCCTGAGTATAGACCGGGCCACTGGGGTTGGGTGGGGGTAGGCCGCACACCTCTGCTGTGCGTGTCCCCTCAGCCCCGCGGGACTCTGGGCCCTCTAGGCTCTGGGCCTCCCTCACTCTCTGTTTTCAGTTAACCTGGGGCTTCTGCCCCCTGCACCCTCTTCTTGCTGCTGAAGTTCCCTTTCTTGGTGGTTTCCAGATTTTTCTGGTACTGCTGTAACTGAGCAGATTTGGGGAGACTGGCTTTGTCTTTGCTGAAGAGCTTGTGCTCAGTGTGAATGGTCACCGAGTTGCTGCAGGAGGAGTCAAAGCAGCAGGTTGAAGAAAGGAGAGCGAAGGTTGCAGATATCAGGTCTCTGCTTTCTGGAAAGGGGTTGGTGTGAAGGCTGTGGCCAGCCTGGCAGGCTGAGGTGAGCGTGTGTAGAGATGCTGGTCAGGGCCAGTCTGCAGGGCTTAAGGCAAGCGCCTTCCCCACGGGCTTGTCTTCTGCAGGACCCAGGGGGCGGGCACGGCCCACTCCCCAGAACTGCCTCAACCCTTCCGTTGCTTCGATGCACCTGCTGGGGAGGGCTGTGCTGGTATTTGCTCAAGGCGCTGAGCTGGGCGGGGGTTTAGGCGCTCCTGGGTTTGAGAAAAGTCTTTCTAAAGTTCCTTGACTCTAGCACTTAGCTATACGCAGAATGGCATCTTACATATGTTGGACAGAAATAAGAGGATCAAGCCGCGGCCAGAAAGGTTCCAGAACTGCAGAGACCTGTTTGATCTGATCCTCACCTGTGAAGAGAGAGTGTACGATCAGGTGGTGGAAGGTAAGGCTGCAGACCGAGTGTGCCCGGAGTGCCTGGGCCACTTCGCCCGTCATGGCCTCAGTGGCCTCCCTGGGCAGGACGTGCAGCTGCTTCCAGGGCTGGGGAAGGTGGTCAAGGCCGTAGAGAGGAGGCCCCCAGCCTGTAGGGCCCACCTGAGGATGGAGGTGGGGGTGGGAGATTGTAGCCTTTGGCTGGTCATGTTCATCCATGCAGAACCACCTGTGTGTTGGCTGAGCACATAGTGCAGGTTTTAGGGTCTTTGGGGTGCATGAAGAGCATGTGTGAAACGAAGGAACCAGGGGCCTGGTACTTGGTGAGTGAAAATGCTGTCGGATGCTCTACTCCAGGCAGCCTGGCTGTTGGTGAGTGAGACCAGCTGGTCGGCACGTTGAGGCTGATGATCACCAGGTGTCCTTGAATCACACCGGGCTTGGGAGTGCTCGGCCTGGTTGACCGCCCCGGGGCCAGGGAGCAGGTGCCCTGGTTCCATGGCCTCTGACTGCCGTGTCGTCCTGGTCCCGTTAGATCTGAATTCCAGGGAGCAGGAGACCTGCCAGCCAGTGCACGTGATCAATGTGGACATCCAGGACAACCACGAAGAGGCCACCCTGGGGGCGTTCCTCATCTGCGAGCTGTGTCAGTGTGTGAGTGCCCCGCCCCCGTTGCTGCCGCACGCCTGCTCTGGCCCAGGGGCCCAGGTGTGCCTGCCCTGGGGTCCCCGGGAGCAGTCTCTGCCGGAGGGATGACCAGGACCATCTCCTCCTGACACACAGGTTTTACCAGGAGAGGGGCTGTCCCGCAGTTTAGTTCGTGTTCATGTTGGGGTAATTTCAGATGTTCAAACCCAGATCAGCACAGGGCACCCATCGACCACGTGGCTTTGATTTAAGAACTTCTGTGCTTTTTCTTCGGGTGACGGAAGTGCAGTGTCCTGCTCAGTGTCTGGCCGTGTGCCCACCAAGGGCTTCTGCCAAAATCCCAGTCAGGTCTAGCAGAGCCCAGGGGCCCCCAGAGCTCTGTGGATGCTGTCATGTCCTCTTCTGCACCCTCAGGACCTGTCGGTCCTTGGCCTTCCCCGAGTGGCCCTGGGCATCCTGCCTTGTGTGGAAAACCGTAGGGGCTTTGCAGCTACTATGCAGCTATGCTCAGAGCAAAAACATTTCCTCTTAGGCCTGGCAAAAGGACCTATCCAAGGAGAGACCCATATGCCTTGTCCTATAGGTTCTGCCCGTGAGATCTGCATTTAAGTCAGGTGACTCTGAGTGACAGAAAAATGAGTGAAACGTGGCTTAACCAAGAAGTCCAGAGACAGGCAGGCCTGGACTGGTTTGCCACGGGAGGGGCCCAGGTCCTCCTCTCTCGTTGCATCCAGCACAGCTCCTGTTCCCAAGATGCCTCATGGCCCAGCATGGCTGCTGAAGCTCCAGCACTTGTGCCCATGTTCTGGCCATTATGCAGGAGAATGGGCTGAAGAGGAACACAAGTCCCAGAAGTTGCACATGTGACTTCCATTTGGGTCACCTTGACAAGCGAGTTACAGAGGGGCTGCTCTTCACTTCGGAGTGGCACTGCTTACAGGCCAAGACTCAGGCCAGTGAATAGCCTCAGCCATGGTCCACCCCATACCAGCCCTGAATCAGCCTTGAGCTGGCCGCTGGCCGCACCTCCTCCTTTAGGGCAGTGGTTCTCCACCAGGGGACGTCCCGCCACATCTGCACACATCTGTGGGTCTCACAACGTGGGGGTTATGCTAGGGGCAGCACTAGGATGGAGGCCACAGATGTTCAGCTGCACTGCAGAGCCTGGGCTGGCTTCGTCACTGGGTGCCTTTGAGCAAGTGACTGCACCTTGGCAGAGTGGGGGGCCGTGAGCTTCCATAGTTCATGTACAGGGGGCGTCCGAGGGCAGGCCCGGCTGCAGGCTCCCTGCCTCCCTTCCCTGGTGGGATCGCCCCCAACCCTCTGTCCTCAGGCCCCGGCCTGGGGTGGGTGGGAATGAGTCTGCAGAGCGGAGGACAGCACAAGCTCATCAGGTGTTGCCCTCGCTTTTGCTGGGGGCGGGGTTGGGGCCGGGGCTCAGGGTGGCCTGTGTGCTCTCCCCAGATTCAGCACACAGAGGACATGGAGAACGAGATCGATGAGCTGCTCCAGGAGTTCGAGGAGAAGAGCGGCAGAGCCTTCCTGCACACGGTCTGCTTCTACTGACCCACCTGGCCTGGCGCCCGGGGCGCCACCCACCCTCCTGAAGCCGTCTTTTTGAGCTTCCTTTTGTTAATACTTTTTCCTTCCTGATATTTGTCTTTACTTTTAGGTATTCTGCCGGCCACGGCAGTGGTACCCAATAAACTGCATAGGAAATGCAAGGACACACAGATGCCAGATTCAAAACAATCACGTTTTCTCCCTCCCGCTTTTACTTACGAGTGGGATGTTGATTGTAAAGGTTTTTTTTTTTTTTTCTTTACCCAGAAAAGTAAACAACGGTTTATGGTACATTTCCCCCATGCATTTGTGGCTTTCATTGTGGTCCCTTCCCCTCTGCTTCCCAAACTTGCTGGAATGTACAAATAACCTGAATAAAGCAATGGGCTTTACCTTGCTAGGAAAGAATCTGCAGTTGTCCAGTAAATCCATGTTGCTGGTCGTTTTCGCTTTGTCCTGAGTCCCCAGCTGGCTTGCTCCTGCCCAACTGCCACAGGTCCCTCTGGAGGGACCCCTGGGCCTTCTGAGGTTGGGGGATGGGGGCACCAGGGCCTGTGGGGCAGCCCAACTTCCTAGCAGGATCCTGAGGTCCTGCTGCCCACGGGGACTGCTGGAAGAACGGAACCCTTCTCCCTGTGGCACCTTCTCCTGGGGCTGAGATCGTTGTCCCCCAAGGAGTCTTACTTCCCCACGACCCCTCCTGACCCCTAGCTGTGGAAAACCTCAGGTCCCTGTGGGGAAGTGTCGGGGACTCCCGCGTGGCAGTGCTGTCTTGGGGCTGTGGATGACAGCTTGGCTCAGGGACTTTTCCCCAGGCTCCCAGGATCATGGGGTAGCCTGCTGAGAACCATGGACACTGGCCTGGGCTTCCAGGCTGCCCAGTCCCGGTGCCTGGAGCTGACCCCTAAGGGAAGTTGGGACTGAGGCTGGCCTTGCCACCACTGTGGGGCATCCTTTGTTTTTTTGCTGGGCCATGTGGCCATGGCTTTGGAGTGACCTCCCTGGCAGCTCCCCAGCGGCCCTGCAGGGCCCTCCGCTAAAGGCAGGCACTTGCTGGAGGAAGCCGGGTGCCAACCAACGTGCCGGCGGCCCCGAGGCCCAGGAGGAGGGTCTAGGGACGAACCCCAGTGCCCTCTCCTGGACCGCTCGGTCTGGTCTGGACGTGGCCCCAGGGTCCAGGGGCGCTTGGCAGGCTGAACCAGGGCCGGGCCGGGCCCGATGGGGACGAGAGCCCGCCCTGCGGCCCCCGGGGAGGGGTCCGGCCGGCAACGCGGCGCGGGGCGGGGCCCGCGGGCGGGCGGCGCGGCCCCTCCCGGGAGGCGGGCGCGGAGGGCGGGCAGGCAGCGGAGGCCGGAGCGGCGCCGAGCGCGCGGAGGGAGGAGGCCGAGGGCGGAGCGGAGCGCACTGGCGCGGCGAGCGCGGCGGCCCGGCGGCCGAGCGACCCCGGGAGCGGCGGCGTCCTCTGCCCGCCCCGCCCCGTGCCTCCTCCCCGGCGGGTGCTTGGCGGGCTGACCTCTGCGGAGGCGGCGGGGGCCCAGCATCGGGCCGGGGCCGGGGGGGCGCCGGGGCCGGGGGGCGGCGCTCCGGCCCGGCCCGGCCCCGCCCGATGTCCATGAGCGCGAACACCATGATCTTCATGATTCTGGGGGCGTCGATCGTGATGGTGAGCGGAGGGGCTTCCCGTGCGCCCGCGCCCGCCTCCCGCGCCCGCGCGCCGCCTCCCCCACCTCCCGCGCCTTGTTTACCGGCCCGCGCGGCCTGCGCTCCCCATCCCCGGCCTGCGCTCCCCATCCCCGGCCTGCGTTTCCCATCCCGGGCTGCCCCGCGTTCCCCATCCCCGGGCTGCGCTCCCCATCCCCGGGCTGCGCTCCCCGTCTCCCGGCAGCGCCGAGCTCCCCATCCTTGGCCTGCGCTTCCCATCTCGACTGCCCTGAGCTCCCCGATTCTGGGGTTGCCCCGGGCACCCCTATCCCAGGGCTGCGCTCCCCCACCCCCAGCGCGCCGCCCCCCACACCCCACCCCACGCCCCGGGGCCCCGGCCAGGCCCGCTTCTCGGCGCTGACCGGTCATGGGCTCTTCCAGGCCATCGCGTGCTTGATGGACATGAACGCACTGCTGGACCGATTCCACAACTACATCCTCCCGCACCTGCGGGGCGAGGACCGCGTCTGCCACTGCAACTGTGGCCGGTAAGTCCGCGCCCGGTGGGGCACACGCGTGATCACACATGTGCGGCGGCGGGGCCCACTGGGGCGCAGGCAAGCCCCAAGCAGGCCTGGCTGCAGGACTGCGCTAGGCCCGTGGGGGAAGGACTGCCCAGCCTCCGCTGGGCACCTGGGGATTGGCCAATCGGGTTCCAGGAGGGGGAGCATGCCTGAGTAGTTAGGACCCCCTCCCAAAATGCCTTTAGAGAAAGGGCCTGTGCCAGGGTGATGGGCAGAATGGGCCCCAGGCCTCCTGGTCCAGGGCCTGGAGGCCAGGAGAGCCACAGCCCAGCCCTGTGTGTCAGGAGGGATCCTGTGCACGGCTGTGCCCACAGAGTACACCGTCCTCCCTGGGCCCTGCACTAACGTTCATGAACTTTCCTGCAAGCCAGGTACAGGGAAATGCAGAAGGTCAAGGTGGGCAGAGCCTGCCTCGAGGGGCATCTGGTCCAGCCCTGTCATTGCACAGAGGAGGAACTGAGGCAAAGCTGGGTGTGGCTTGCTCAAGGTCATTCAGAGAGCCGTGGGAGAACCCAGGCCCCCTACATCCACTGTGTGAACGCCCCCATTCTGTGCACGTGTAGTGACGGAGTCTTCCTGGCCATGCATGTTTGTACGTCCATGTACAAAATAAACATGTTCTCATGAGACGCGCATGTGTGTACTGTCTGTGCATATCCATGTGCGTACACACAGCGCACATGCATTCGCATGCCCGGCATCTCCACGGGAAGCCCTCATGCTGGCACCAAGAGAAAGCAGAGACGCTTGGGTGGATAGAGACTTGCCCAAGGTCACACAGCTAGTGAGGGACTGCAGGCCGAGCCCGGAAGCTGTGTTCCTCAACCCTGTCCTGTATTTCTGCCCCAGGGACACGTGTGCACACACTGTGGGGGGGGGGGGGTGTAAGAGAGACAGGACAGTTACGTGCCATGGCTACCGAGCAGCGTATGGAAGCAGAACCCAGACGTTAGGGAAGGTAGGGAGGGAGTGTAATGGCCCTCGCATGTGCTGTCCCAAGGACCATCGGAAGAGTTTGCTGGGGTGGGGGTGGGGGGTGCACTCTTTCCCAGAGATCCCTGTGTTCGTTCATGGTGCACAGAGCCCCAGACTAAGGAAGGGCACAAGGTCAGCCCCATGGCCACCTGGGTCAGCCACGGCTATGAGCAGGTTAAACCGGGGTGGTCCCGAGACTCTCCCGGAGGCACATTTTACATGTGTGTGGGCTGTTGTGTCGTGACCAGCATGTATGTGCCTGTGACCTCACACCAAGGACCCATCTGGGCAGACAGGGGGTGTTTCCAACGTGTATTTGCCCGGGATGCGTGGACGCGTCATCCATAGCATCCAGAGTCCGTGCGGACTCAGCTAGGACGCTCGCGCGCTGGGTGCCGGCTGAAGCCAGTCCTGTGTGCGCAGCTTAGCGCGTCTGGGGACGCAGAAAACCCAGAGAGCCGCCCCTGCTGCAGACGTAGAGCTTCTGGGTGCGTGTGTCCACATCACTTCACACAGGATACGTGGATTCAGTGTACAACGTATTCTTACACACCGACAACATACATGTGTATGCACAGTGCACGCATAGCACCCAGACAGCATACGGCGACGAGTGTGCTCCGCGTGGGCACGGCGAGCGTGTCTGCAGAGAACAGTGCTGCACAGGAAGTGCGGCTCTGTCCGTGTGTGCATGCGCCGTGTGGGGCCCGCACACGTGTACGCGTCCGGCCTGCCATGCGGAGAACTTCACGCAGGGGACACGTGTGTAGATGAAGGCTCCTAGTGTGCGTGCCGGCAGGCGGGGTGTGCGTTATGGTGGGGACGGCTGGGTGCCGGGCTGAGTGCATGTGCATCCGCATGCGACACGCCGCGCTCGTGCCTGGGAAGCATGCACACGCACACACGTGGAGCTCGGGGACCTGAGTCCATGGTATACACGCCACGTCTTGTGCATGCGGCCGGCGTGTATACACAACATGCTTCGGACCTCAGGTAGGCACATGCAGCATGCGTGGCCCAGGCAAGACCCGCGTATGTACACGTCATGAAAGTCCGTGTGCACGTTTGAGACCAGGGGCCTGACTTGGAGAAGGAGGAGCGAGCGTGAGGGCCGCGAGGAGCTGCAGGCGCCAGGCCAGGGACGGGGGCACAGGTTGTGACCTCTGACCCCCTGGAGGTCCTGAGCCGCCGGGGGCGGTTGGGGCCCTGGCCTCACCCTGCTTGCAGAGCACCAGGCACGTTTCTGGCTTCTTTGGCAGCCTGACCTTCAAGTTCCCTACCTTGACCAGCTGTGTGTCCAGGGGCAGGAAGCAGCAGTCCTGAGGAAGGCCCTGTCAGGGGTCCTCGGCCCAGAAGGCTGGGTAAAGCGGGAGGGGACAGTGATGCTCTGTGTTAGCGGCCCCTGTGCGGCCTGCCTGGCCTTGTGCGCCCCCGGTGATGGGGACCTTGAATGGGTCACGAATGGCGTCCGCTCCTGGGGAACCCACAGCTGCTGCTCATTCTGGGTGGTGATTAATAGTTTTCCACCACTTATTGGTGACTGACAGTGGCTACTGACAAACTGATCAGTAAGCATGGCTGCCACGTATCAGGCCGTCCTCGCTACTGACTCCGAGCCGTGGGGCTGTAGCCAAGGCCCCACCACTGGGACTGGTCACACTCTGGACATGCTGAGCAGGATGGCCTCCAGAGTTCCCAGAAGGAGCAGGAGGGGTGTGAGGAGAGGCCTGCCTGCCGCCATCCCTGCTGGGCTCCTACTGGGAGGAAGACGCTGTGTGGACCCCGCTGGTGCAGGGACATCGGTAGGGAAGGAACAGCAGGGAATCAGGGAGGAGTAGTGGGGTTTCCGTATTTGAGACGGTCCCTGTGGGGGAGTGTGGAACATGGCCAGTTGCGAGGTTGGGGCGTGGGGGTAGGGACCTATCTCAGCTGAACACCAGGCGGAGGTGCCAGCATCTAACTGAGGGGAAGATGGGGAGAAGCAGGTTTGGGGAGGGAGGAGCTATTTTTAGGTATGAGTTTGAGGTGTCTGTAGATCCCACATGGAGACGCCACACAGGCGCTAGAGCTCAGAGCAGACGGGGAGGGTGGGGGGAGTGTGTGCGGCCGGGGACTTCAGGGGATTGGGGCTAGAGTTGGAAAGACCAGCAAAGGGGCTCGGGGAGGAGGGGAACCATGAGAGCTGGCCCCGTGGGCAGGAGGGCTCGAGAGAGGCCCCTGCACTGCCAGGCAGGAGGATGACAGGGGCGAAGGGTGGACCCCACGGTCCCTCTCCTGGGCTCTCCTGCAGGCCAAAGAGGGGGTCGGGAGTGGGGACAGACCCAGAGTCTGTTGTCCTGGGTGCTGATCTCCTGAGTAGGGCCACCCCACCCAGGCCCAGGAGGGCTTGCTGGAGGAGGGAATCCAGAAAGGCCTGAAACTGGAGGGAAGCATGTGGGGAGAGTTCAAAGTTCCTCAGAGGCAAGCCTGGAGAGTGGGGGGAAGGGAGGCTGAGAAACACCGCACAGGCCTTGGTGGGGGAGGCAACACATGGGAGTCCAGGGAACCTGGGGCAGCTGGAGCATCCCGGGAGCCGCAGCGCCGGCCATGGACATGCACCTCTGTGGGGACATGGGCAGGAGAGGGGGCGTGAGATGGACACTGGACAGCCCGCTGGACCTCCAGCCCAGAGAACAGAGGAAGGGGAGGTGCCTGCAAAGGATGAAGGAGCAGAAGGAAGACCAGAGGCCCAGGGCAGGGCTGACCCACTTGGCATTTGGTAGCAGGGAGGAGGATGAGAGGGCGTGTGGGAGGGGAGGCTGTGAACCTGCGACTGGATGGGGACATCCCGCCCCGGGCCTTCGCCCTGGAAGCTTGTTCACCTGCACTGTTGCCGTGACCCGGCACGGTTGCCTCTGAGCCCCGGGGCAGAGGACGGAGGAGGGTGATACGTGGGCAGGCTTCACTCTGACCGCTGACAGCGCACACTACCCCCTCTGGGCAGCCTCTTGCCCGGTGGGCGGGCCCCTTCCTGACCTCAGCTCCGCACAAGGGCTGCTCTAAGGCCAGCAGGGCGAACGGGTGCCGCTTACCGCCGGGGTCGCTGCCCGCCCCACGGGAGAGGTGCCAGCCCGCCCTGCCGCCCCCAGGCACCACATCCACTACGTGATCCCTTACGACGGGGACCAGTCGGTGGTGGACGCCTCCGAGAACTACTTCGTGACAGACAACGTCACCAAGCAGGAGATCGACCTCATGTTGGGGCTGCTGCTCGGCTTCTGCATCAGCTGGTTCCTGGTGTGGATGGACGGCGTCCTGCACTGCGCTGTGCGCGCCTGGAGGGCCGGCCGGCGCTACGGTGAGTGAGGGCGGCGGGGGGCGCGCGGCCCGGCCCTTGCGTCCCACCCTACCCCACCGCGTCCCACCCGCCCCGGGCCCCGCCCCGCCGGGCCCTCCCTGGCCACGCCCCGGCGCCACGCCCCCACCGCGCCCTCCCGGACCACCCCTCCAAGGCCACGCCCCCTCGCCACGCCACGCCCCCACCAGGGATCGCCGCGTTCCCTCCCAGGCCACGCCCTTATCGCCACGCCCCCGCGGTGCCACGCCTCGCCCACCCGCCCCACCGCAACCCTTTAGGTCACGCCCCCACCGGGTCACGTTCCCGCCGTGGCCACGCCCCACCAAGGCCACGCCCGTCGCTTCTCACCACGCCCCCTCCCACGCCGTGCCTCCGCTCGACCACGCCTCCAACACCGACCCGCCCACGCCCTTCCTTGGCCGCGCCCCCCACCCACCGCGCGCCGCCCACGCCTCCGCCCTGACCTCGTCCTGACCGCGCCCCCGCCCCGCAGACGGCTCGTGGACCTGGCTGCCCAAGCTTTGCAGCCTGCGGGAGCTGGGCCGGCGGCCGCACAGACCCTTCGAGGAGGCGGCCGGCAACATGGTGCACGTGAAGCAGAAACTCTACCACAACGGCCACCCGAGCCCGCGGCACCTGTGAGCCGCGCGCAAGACTCGCGGGGCCTTCGGCCAACGCGCCCACGCACACGGGACTGGACGGCCGCGCCGGGCCAGGGCGCCCGCGGCCGCCGGGCGTGTCCAGCGGAAGGTGCTGTCTCCTCTTCTTTTTATAAAGGGGGTCGGGGCGGGGCAGGCCGCCGGCCTGCGGGGAGGACCCCGGCCTCCCGGGCCGGAAAGGGCGCGGGGATCAGGGCGGCGGGCCCTGAGCGAGGGCGGGCGGGGGACTTGGGCACCTGTGCCGGCGGCCGGGACCACCTGCTCGCCCCCGCGCACTGTAGTCTCACCCGCACCTGGGCTGAGACCATGTCTGTTACTTAAACCCGGTTATTTCCTGTGCGCCCGGCTGCTTCTCGGGACCAGTTCTGGCGTAGGGAAGCAAGGCCGGGAGAGGGTCTTGGCAGGGAAGGGGCCGGCGCCCAGCCGCGCCCACGTCTGCACACGGGAGCATGTGCATGGGGCGTGTGCGTCCGCGGGCCGCAAAGGGGGTGGGGGGCGGGGGGCAGGGGTCTGGTGGAGGCCCCGGCCTAGCAGCAATAAGGCCCCCAAGCCCCACTGCGGCAAGTGTGGCCACCCTGCCCAGGGCATCCCCGGTCGGGCGCCTCACTGTGACCCCCACCCCTGCTGGTCAGTAAATTCTCCAGAAAGCTCCAGTCTCTGCCTCTTCTTTCATCTCTGAACCTGTGACCCTTTCAAGCCCCTGCCCCTTGAATCAGCCATGAGATACACACATTGTGAGGTATCCTGTCAAGTTTTTATTGGATTCTGGATAAAAAGACCCCAACTCCAATGGATGGAGGGCCACAGATCCTGTGGGCTAGGACAGCGCCCCCAGCACTGGACATTCCTGGCCAGTGGGCCTCTGGCCCTTCAGGCACCACCACCGGTCGCTGGCAACTAGTTCTTACCCTCTGGGTGTATCACAGTCAGACGTATGCAGGGCATCTCCCTCTCCCTAGTTCCGGGGGGAAGCAGCTCCCACCCAGCAGCACAGGGGCCTGCTCTGCTCAGCCCTCGCTCGCTGGGTGAGACTGGGCAAGGTCAGGCCCCTACCCATGCCCAGCCCCGCTCTGGACACAGATGCAGCAGGCGGCCACAAGAGCTTAGCCAGCACCTAACTGGCAGTACCAGCTGGACCACTGTCCCTGCACATGGGGACAGCGCTTCCCCCCCAGCACTGGGCCTGGCTTGGAGACCCACATCTCCCAGCAGTGTCCTGGGGGTCAGGTGACGGCCCCAGTCTGGACCACCCAGCAAGCACCACAGCCTGAAGGGAAAAGCCCAGGGTACAGAGGAACCAGCCCTCCCACAAAGACGCTACACCTGCAGCGGCTCCCAAGCAGAGGCCTTTAATGCTGTGCTGGCCCTGACCCGAGGAATATTTAAAAATGCTGAGGTGGGCAGCTGCGTAGGCCCATCACTGGGGGAAGGGGGCATCTTGGCGCTTCTTCCTGGCAGGGCCAGCTGGCCAGTGTGCCCCCTGGGTATCCAGGCCCAGCTCACTCAGCCTGTGTACTTGGGGGCAGGGGCTGGTCACCCTTAGGCCTGGCTCCCTCAGCCTTCAGCCACTGCATCTTCTGCTGGTGCTGCTGGATGGCATCCTGGACCCGGGCATCCATCATGGCCTCAGTGAGGAACCCATCCTCGGAGGCATACGCCATGGCCTGGCAGGGAAAGAGAACACTGATGCAGGGCACGCAGAGGGCTTACCTGCAGGGGAAAAAGGGTCTCCCAGCCCCAGGCTTTCAGACCCTGGGCCCCACCGGTCACCAGGAACCACCCACCTGCAGGACAGGGCCAGACCCAGGGATAAGGCAGCCTAGCTGGCCCCACCCATGAGCTCGCCTCTTGGAGATGCCCTCCAGAACCTGAAGGGGTGGCAGCGAAGACTGGGATGTTGAGTCCATTAAGAGGATTGCTGGCCCGTACCCTCTACCACAGGCCTGTGCTCAGTCTCAGGAGGGGCGCGGCCTCCCAGCAGAACACACACATGCCAGCATGCCAGCAGACCAAGGGGGCCAGGATCCCTATTGAGGGATGGCTGGACTTACCAATGGGCTTCCAAAGAAATGAGGAAAAGGGGAAACCAGTAACTTTACCATGGAGAAACCTGGCGGCACCACCTTAACCAGGTCAACATCCCTGTGATGTTGTACAGACGTCACGTGTCCCCTGTCAGGACGTGACCAGAAGGCACCTCATCTCTGGGGTCTTCTCCCAAAACCCACAATCTCAGTCTAACTGTGAGAAAAACATCAGAAGGACAATCTCTGTAACACCTGACCCGCACTCCTCAAAACTGCCAGGATCATCAAAAACAAGAGACATGTGAAAACTGTCACAGCCCAGAGGAGCCCAAGCAGACATGGCAACTGAACGAGATGGGGGACTTTGGAGGGAGTCCCGGAAAACATCAGGTCCGAGGTGGAGCCCACAGTGACATGGCAAATGTGCCCAGTGAGAGGAGTCACACCATGGTGGGGGAAGCTCCATGCTGTTCTTGCAACTTTCCTGTGAGCCTGAAATTACTGAAACATAGCAAACTTCATAAAAAAAAAAAAAAAAAAAGGCAAGCCCTGGACTCAAGGATGATGCTTACAGGAAAATTAATCAACGTGATGCACCACGTTAATAGAATGAAAGCCAAACCACATGATCATCTCAATTGATGCAGAAAATGGCAGTTGCGACGTTCAACACCCTTTCTTGGTGCAAACAATAAACTAGAGATGGAGGAAAATTTCCTTAACGTTCTAAAGGTCATTTATGAACAACCCACAGCAAATATATTATCAGTGGTGAAAGACTGAGAGCTTTTCCTCTGAGATAAGGAACAAGTCAAGGATGCCCACTCTCATCCACTTCTATTCAACACAGTAGTGGAAGTCGTAGCCAGAGCAATTAGGCAAGAAAAAGAAATAAAAGGGATCCAAATTGGCAGGGAAGAAGTAAAATTATCTGTTTGAAGATGATATATTCTTATATGTAGTAAACCCTAAAGATTCCCCTCAAAAGTTAAAACTAATAACTAGGGGTGCCTGGGTCGTTCAGTCAGTTAAGTGTCTGGCTCTTGATCTCAGGGTTGTGAGTAAAAAATAAAACTAATAAACAAATTCAGCAAATTTGCAGGACACAAAATTAACACACAAAAATCATTTGTGTTTTGGGGCATCTGGGTAGCTCAGTCAGTTAAGCGTCTGCGTTTGGCTCAGGTCATGATCTCTAGGTCCTGGGATTGAGCCCCATATTGGGCTCCCTGATCAGCAGGGAGTCTGCTTTTCCCTCTCCCTCTACAGCTCCTTCTGCTTGTGTGCATGCATGCTCTCTCTCGCTCTCTAATAAGATCTTAAAAACAAAAAACCATTTGTTTTTCCATATGGTAATAATGAACCATCTGGAAAGGAAATTAAGAAAATTCCATTTACAATAGCATCAGAAAGAAAAAAATACTTAGGAATTAACTTAACCAAGGCTAAAGAGTTCTACATTAAGAACTACAGAATACTGCTGAAAGAAATTAAAGATCTCAAAATTAGAAAGATATCCATGTTCATATGTTGGAAGACTTAAACTTGTTACGATGTCATTACCGTCCAAAGTGATCTACAGATTCACTGCAATCCCTACCAAAAATCCCAATGATGTTTTTTGCAAAAAAAAAAAAAAAAAATCCATCCTAAAATTCATATAGAAACTCAAGGGAGGCCAAAGAGCCAAAACAGTCTTGGATAAGATTTTCAGGTCTCACATTTCCTGATTTTAAAATCTACTACAAAGCTACAGTAACAAAATCAATGTGGTACTGGCATAAGGGCAGTTATACAGACCGATGGGGTAGAATGGAGAACCTAGAAACCCTCACATGTGTGGTCTGATGATTTCCAACAAGGATGCCAAGACCATTCAATAGGGAGAGGACAGTCTTTTCAAACAATGGTGCTGGGAACACTGGATATCCACATGCAAAAAAGAATGAAGGTGGACCCCTACCTGCCCTATCCCACACACAAAACTTAACTAAAAATGAATCACACCGGGGCGCCTGGGTGGCTCAGTCAGTTAAGCATCTGCCTTCGGCTCAGGTCATGATCTCAGGGTCCTGGGATCGAGTCCCATGTCAGGCTCCCTGCTCAGCGGGCAGTCTGCTTCTCCCTCTGCCTCTGCCCCACCCCCCACCCCCTGCCACTCGTGCTCTCTCTCTCGCTCACTCTCACTCTCAAATAAATAAAATTTAAGAAAAAAAAATGAATCACACCTAAATGTAAGACCTCAAATTACAAAGCTACTAAAAAAAAAAAACCATAGGGTAAGCTTCCAGACACTGGATTTAGTGATGATTTCTTGTCTACGACACTGAAAGCATAAGTGACAAACAAAACTGACAAATTGGACTATATCAAAATTAAAATCTTTTGTACAGGGGCACCTGGATGGCTCATTCGGGTGAGCGTCTGCCTTCGGCTCAGGTCATGGTCCTGGGGCCCTGGGATTGAGCCCTGCATTGGGCTCCCTGCACATCGGGGAGTCTGCTTCTCCCTCTCCCTCTGCCCCTCCCCCGTTGGTGCGCTCTCTCTCAAATAAATAAAATCTTAAAATCTTTTATGCATCAAAATCTTAAAAAAAGGGGGGGGGGAGGGGGGCCGCTCTGCTGGCTCAGTCAGTGGCACATGGGACTCTTGATCTCTGGGTGGTGAATTTGAGCCCCATGTTGGGTGTAGAGATTACTCAAAAATAAAATCTTACAACAAAACGAAACAAACCTTTTGTGCATCAAAGGACATTATCAACCAAATAAAGAGTAAAAAAGCAACTCACTGAAGGCTAGGAAATAACTGTAAATCACATATCTGATAAAGGGTTAGTATCCACAATACATAAAGAACTCCTAAAACTCAACAGAAAACCACCTGATTCAAAAATGGGCAAAGGACATGAATAGACATTTCTCTAAGAAAACACAGACGTGGCCAAAAAGCACACAAGATGGCCACATCACTAATCATCAGGGAAAAGGCAATTCAAATCACAATGAGATCACTGCACATCCACTAGAATGGCTACTACCCAAAAAACAGAAAATAACAAGTGTTGATGAGGGGGTGAGACACCAACTCGTGTGCACTTCTGGGGGGAATGTAAAGTGGTGCAACCACTGCAGGAAATGGCATAGCAGCTCCTCAAACATTAAAAACAGTTCATCACATGATCTAGGAATTTCACTTCCGGGTATATACTCAAAGGAATGAAGAGTGGGGTTTCACCTGCACACCCACGTTCACAGCAACCACCCAAATGTCCATCTCAGTGGATGAAGGGATTAACAAAATGAAATATATCCACAATGGATTATGATTCTACCTTAAAAAGGAAGAAATGCTGACACATGGTACAACATGGATGGACCTTAAGAACATTATGCTGAATGAAATAAGTCACAAAAGGACAAATACTGCACGGTTCCACTCACATGCACTACCTAGAGGAGTCACATTCACAGAAAGTGGAAGTGCAGGAGCCAGGAAATGGGGGGGTGGGGGATGGCGGGGTGGTTAGTGTTTCACAGGATGACATTTCAGCTTAGGAAGATGAAAATGTCCTGGAGACAGATGGTGGTGATGGTTGCACAACAATGTGAATGTACTTAATGCCATTCATCTGTGTACCTAAAAATGGTTAAAATGGTAAATTTTGTTTAAAAAATAATGCTAACAACGCGGTGAATTCCCACAACCAAGTGGTAAGAGGCAGCAGGAACTCCATTGATAAAACCATCGTGGAAGCAGCATGGGCTTCAGGGAACAAGTGCGTGAGGGCCCCCCAGGCAGTCCAGCCTGGAAGGAGGGGCAGGACAGGCAGGAGCAAGCCCAACAACCAGCTCTGAAAATCACCATCCAAAAGGCAGGAAGGGGGCCACCATCAGAACTCCACCATGCTGGCACCCTGACCCGGGACTTCCTGCCTTCACAACCTTGGAAAATGAATGTCTATGTCTAGGCCCCCTGGGCTGTGGTACTGTTAGAGCAGCCCAAGCTGACAGACATCCTAGCCTCCACCCTGCTGATTATGGAAACAGAGCCAGCGTCATGAGGCCTCGGTCTGAGTTAAGGGCGGCCCGGAGCAGAGCACCCGCTGATCCAGGTGGGGACACAGTTTACAGTCTGGAGCTGTTACGGCACAGAGCCCAGCTCACTTTGACTAATACAGTCCCTCCGTGTATCCAAGCTACCACATTCAAATCCAAGTAGATGCCCAATTAACAAACACATGTTCACTTAACAGCACTGTTACGTTTCTTGTGGCTGGATTGTCAGGTAGCCCCAGACAGATCTGAGCGCAGGCCCCACAGAGGCCATAATGCCGACACAAAGCCGAGGGCTGGCCGGCGGACAGGAGCTACTCGGCACCTCCACCTGATAGGGCTTTTCCCCTCTCAGCAATCACCAACCTGCAAATGCTTTCTGGATGTCTGCACCCAGGACCCCTGGGGGTCAACCGGCTCCCCTGCCCTGGGGGGTGGGGGTGGGGGCCCTGTGGACATCTCAGGAGGAAACTGGGTGTGGGGAATGACCAGAACCACCCTGGGCCGTGTGCCTTGGGCCACAGCACAAGGATAAAGTCAACTCAACCCATGTGCTCTAGGTTGCCCTCAAGGCCCCACAGCAAACCCGATCATGCATGGAGCAGACAATCCTCAACACCGACGGTCTCCACCTGGTGAAGAGCTAGGAAGGAGATGCCCAACCCCTTATCAGATCAGATTCACTCCTTGGTTCCTCATCTCATTTGCCCTCTGGTGAGCCCACCTTTGGCTCATGGGATGCTCCATGTGCCCCTGTGGTCCCCTATCCCCCAACTACAGAATCGCCTGCCCCAAATGTGCTAGGCCCCAGCTTGGGACAGACTCCAGAGGTTCCCAAGACATTAAGCCTGAGCCTGTGGGACCTTGATGCCCATGTGACACTTGGCTCATTTCCAGGAAACCCCACCTGATTTCAGAGCTCTATCTGATTTGGACCAAAACCACAATGACAAGGAGGTAGGCCATAATACCCAAAGCTAGTGACACGTCTCCACACCCTCCCTGCATGCATGGGGGGGGGGCGGGGAGGCAGAAGCAGGTGGTGGCTAGAATGCAGGACAGGGCATGACATCTGTGTGCAGAAAACCCTTCAACAGAAACACCCTGGGGGGTGGGGGGGGGAGCAGGGGCCAGCACCGGTTACCTTCCAATGACTCAGTATTTCCCAATTGGTCAAGCTCACACCTGTAGTAGGGAGCACGTCCCCAGCTCACCTGCCAGGCCACAGCAAGCTGGGAGATCTCCCGGCCCGACATGCCCTCCGTCAGGCATGCAATCTCCGAACACTTCCTCCCGTAGTCAAACTGAGCTAGCTTCAAGCGCCTGTAAAGGAGAAATTCCCACATGGTGCTCCCGTGTGGAGTATAGGATGCCTGTCAGGTCTGGCTAAAGACCAGGACAATCAGTCAAACACCCATGGAAAAGGGGCACCTGGGTGGCTCAGTTGGTTGGGTGACTGCCTTCAGCTCAGGTCATGATCCTGGAGTCCCGGGATCGAGTCCCGCATCGGGCTCCCTGCTCGGCGGGGAGTCTGCTTCTCCCTCTGACCCTCACCCCCCCACGCTCTGTCTCATTCTCTCTCAATAAATAAAATCTTTAAAAAAAAAACAAAACACCCATGGAAAAAAGGACTCAGAAACTCAGACCACAACCAGTGTTTGGACTGTAGTCAGGCCAGAACGGGCCACTGGGAGGCTGGGGTGGGGGTGGGGGTACTGGGGCCAGCCGGGTGCAAAGGAGAAAGGAGGCCCAGATAGTGGAACGCAAGGGCTCCGGCAGCAGAGGGACAGCACGGGCAGGCAAAGCCCGTCCTAGAACAGAACACGGCTCTCACTGCCACCAGCGACAGGAGGGATTCAGGTCAGTGCTGCTGCGAGATCCAGCTCCCCGGAGATGGTTAAAAATAGACCCGCCTTTGCCTATATGGAACACTCTGGACAGAGCAATGAGTGAGGGTGGCCGGGACAGAATGTGGAGGGCTTCCCCATCGCCTGGTGACTTCTACAGAACGGGGGCCTTGCTGTGTGCTGGCGAGGGGCCCCGGCTCCCGGGAGTCGGGGTGAGTAGTGAACAACGGAGAGTCACCTCCGAGACCGCCACGACCACCTCAGAGTGAACAAAGCTCAGCCAAGGTCTGCAACCACCACCATAGCCCCTCACTCTCCAGGGCCTGACTGCAGCCTCCACTCCTCAAAAGCCCCAAACTGTTAAGAGACTTCACGTAGCAGAAAAGGATGGAGATGCTAGCTTGTTTGTGATGACGGGCCACTGAGTCAAAAACCTGGCAAAAAGCAGGAGGCACGGGGGCCAGCAGGTGTGTACCCCTGACCCCCATGTGGACCCACAGGGTTAGGATGGGAGTGTAGCACCGGGGCCAGGAGCTGGTGGAGTAGAGGGCCCCCCAGTGCTCAGGCCATCAGCACACTTACTGCTTTCCTTCTGTGGCTGGCTTCAGAACGTACTTGTCGAAATACATCCTCACCAGGCGCTCCCGCTCCTCCCGCTGGGGCAGGTCGAAGCGGACCATCTCGTCAATGCGGTCGTTGACGGCCCAGTCAAACTGCTCGGGCTGGTTGCTGGCCAGGACCAGCATGAACCTGAAGCCAGCACAGAGCAGGGGCTAAGGGGCTGCCTGACCTGGGCGCTGGCCCCCAGGGCAGGGAGCCTCTTAAACTCACACAGAACAATTTTCTAGGAGAATCTATTTGGCAGCTTTTTAACCTGAAAAACCCAGGAAGGCACAGCACTGCCCCCTGCTACCCATCCCTCCCTCGAACACCTCTCCACTGACCAAGGGCCCAGCCTGATGGGGTGGCCATTTAAGCTCTGCTGTGTGGAGGAACAGGGACCCCACGGCCTGAGACCTCTGCCCCTCCCCAACCTGAGCTGCAGGGTCTGGGGTTCAGCTAGTTGAGCAGAAGGGCCAACTCAGCAGGAACCTGGCCCAGACTCTCAGGGAGTCTGAGTAGGGGCGGGGGTCTCTGCTGGCAGTAGCCATGGCAGGCAAGGGGGAAGCATATGACTGGGGGGCCACACAGCTGACTGGCGGGGCTAGGTACCCCATGGATGACTAGTGGGCACAGGACTGGGGGCCCTCAACAATGCAAGAGGGCAAGATGAGGCGATTCAGAAGCAGCGAGCCCCTTTCCAGAGCAACCTATGCCCCAGGGCACCTGGCCGGAGGGTGACCACCCCTACAGCCCATCAATGGAGGGCCAGCAGAGATGCCAAGTGCAGTGACCTGTGGGCAAAGACTTGCGCCTGGCTCTCCTGAGACTCCCCAGCACATCTTCTCAGAAGTCTCCACAAAAACCCCCCTGCACCCCGACCGGCCCTTCCCATCGCCCAGGCAAGTGTGCATGCCCTGTTCCAGCCCCGCCCCACAGCAGCCGTGTGACCTCAAGCAGAGCCTCAGTTTCCCTCTGCAAAGGGACTTCGCACTGGCGGGTGGCCCTCACTTGCTGCTGTGCTGTCCTGTCCGGTGCAGGAACGCGTTCAGGGTGGCCCTGAGGTCCTCGCTGATCTTCTCCTGCAGACAAAGTTCTGGCATCAGATGGGAGGCAGCCGGGGGAAGTTAAACAAAGGCGCCACTCCATCCCTCTGAGAGCCCCACACAACAGGGTCTCCATGAGACTTAACTTCAAGGAAGACTTTAAAGACGCCCCGGGATCAATTCCTGCTTTTCAGACCAAATTTATGAAAAAAGTGCAGCTGAGGAGCAGGTCTGGGTCAGACATCATTGTGAGTGACCAGCAACCTCCCCGTAAAGCACAAACGCGGCGCTGGACACCACTCCTGACCGCTCACCTACAGCCGGCTGGGCCCAGCAGGCCAGATAGAAGCTTCCAGAATACTCACAGTCGCTCGCTTCCTGAGGAAGGCGTCCGCTTCATCCACAAAGAGAAGGAGGCTGTGAAGGGAAAAGGACGAACAAGAAGTGGGTGAGGGCTGCCCAGTTGCATGCTAAGGCGCTGAGCACGCTAAAACTAAACTGTTTCAGGAACACAAAGTGCCGGCTAACCTCAGTAGTGGTTGGGGACCCCAGACCCGACAGGGGAATGCCCAGTGCCGGCGCTCCGGGGAAGCGACTGGTTTGTGCCAAACATCCTAATTTGGCACTAAATTCAGTATCGGGGCTGGCAGCCGCTCGTCTTCAATGTGTTAAAAGCGAGGCTCCCGTGATGAGCACAAGCCACCAGGAATCTACTCCCGGGGTGAATTTCTCCCTTGGACTCCCAACCCCAGAGTATTCCAGCCTTGTGCACAACCATGGAGACAAGCTGCAGGGGAAGTCACCGACACCGCCCCCCAAACCCACCCCCCAGCTGGTGCTCCGGTGGCCGCTGGGAACCCGGGCCATGCAAGCGCATGCACGCAGGGGGCCATCCCAGGAGGGGCCCGGCTCACCCTCGCCGGCTGGTACTGGCCCAGTCGAAGACCTTGTGCATGGCAGTCACACCGTCCCGCCCCATGGGGGCCACATCCCCGCCTGTCATGATGGCATAGTCCATGCCTGAGTGCAGCGCAAGTTTCTAGGCGAGAGAGGGGCAGGGGTGGGGGTGGAGGGCAAAGCCTGTTTACTTTCCTCCCCTCCAAATGCACTGAGTCTGGCCCCCCACCAGGTACTGCTGGGATGCCCCCTGCCTGGAAAGCTGCCCCCCCATGTGGCCCATCCCTAAGAGCCACAGCTGCAGCCTCTGCCCACGGCACCCCACCCACCTGCGTGGCCGTGTGCCCTCACCTTGGCAAACAGGGTCTTGCCAGTCCCAGGAGGCCCGTACATCAGAATGTTCCTGTACAGGCTGTGGTTCTTCTTGGTGTTCCTCGTTGCTATGGCAATGTCCCGCACCCGTGCTTCCAGGCTGGGCTGCCAGGGGACATGGCAGGTTGGGGGACACTCTGCTGCCTGTCTGGCAGCCCCAAGAGGCAGCTTACCCCAGGCATTCTACTCTAGGAATGAAAAGCTGGGGCGCCCGGGTGGCTCAGTCCCTAAGCGTCTGCCTTCGGCTTGGATCACGGTCCCGGGGGCCTCGGATCGAGCCCTGCATCGGGCTCCCTGCTCAGCGGGAGGCCTGCTTCTCCCTCTCCCACTCCCCCTGCTTGTGTTCCTCTCTCGCTGTGTCTCTATCAAATAAAATCTTTAAAAAAAAAAAAAAGATTCTCTCTCTCCCGGGGCGCCTGGGTGGCTCAGTCGTTAAGCATCTGCCTTCGGCTCAGGTCATGGTCCCAGGGTCCTGGGATCGAGCCCCGCATCGGGCTCCCTGCTCAGCGGGAGGCCTGCTTCTCCCTCTCCCACTCCCCCTGCTTGTGTTCCCTCTCTCGCTGTGTCTCTCCGTCAAATAAATAAATAAATAATCTTTAAAAAAAAAAAAAAGGAATGAAAAGCAGCCCCATCCTGTAGAAAACCTCCATGGGCAGAAGAGCACCTCCCACCCCAAAGCCTATTACAGCCCCCAGATGGGCAGCACCACTTACACTGAGGACGACGCCCTCCAGTGCGTCCTGAGGCTTACTGAGGAGCCGCCTGCTGACCTATGGGGCGGGGGACACAACATGGGGACAGTCAAGCTTATCAGCAGAGCCCACGACCCAGGCATGGAGCACGGGGAGCAGCTAGACTGCCACGTGGGAACAGAACTGCCGCGGCACTCACACTCCAGGCCACATGTGACGGGGCCCCACTCCGACTCTGGACGGGGGGCCTGCGAGGCTGTCTGTGCTACTGGCCTAGACGACAAGTCCGCAGCAGGGAACCCGACGTGGGGCTCGATCCCACAACACTGAGATCATGACCTGAGATGAAATCAAGAGCCAAATGCCTAACTGACTGAGCCACCCAGGAGCCCCTTCAGATCATTTACTGATTTAGGGGCGCCTGGGGCACTCAGTCGGTTAAGGGTCTGCCTTTGGCTCAGGGGTCCTGGGGTGGAGCCCCGCATCGGGATCCCTGCTCGGTGAGGAGCCTGCTTCTCCCTCTGCTCCTACGCCCCGCCCCCCCACCCCAGCTCATCATCCTCTCTCTCCCTCAAATAAATAAAATCTTAAAAAAAAAAAGAAAGAAAGAGATTCTTTACCGATCTTTATTTTCTCAGTTACCCACAGTGATCACTATGGAGATCCAGCCACAGCCTGTGGGAGGACATCAAGCCGGGCAGGAAGCCTGGCTCCCCTCGAGGAAGAGGAAGGAAGCTCACACTGTGCTGCTTCCAGCACCTTCTCTCACAGGATGATGGCACAGAGGAGCCCCAGGATTTTGTAAACAACCCAAAATCTACCCAGCGGGCCAAGTCACATTAACAAATCCAGAGGTGACCAAGTGGACTAGGGTGAGGATCTCCTCAGTGCTGATGTGGACAGGCTCCCAGAATAGCGTCAGAGAGAAAAAAGCCACAATCAAATCCAACATGCCGGAGAGAATAGACAGTATTTGGGTAAAGAGGGGAAAATGAAGACACGTGTTCACAACCTGGCTGAAATGCCAGAAAGAACTGGGAAGGACATGCCACTCCAGGGAGGACGGGGCCCACAATTACCTGCACGGGATGCCTCAGAGCCTCCAGCACGGTGATACGAGAGGTCTCCCTCACCAGGGACGGCTTCCCCAGCCGGGCCTCAATGTACCGTCCAGCAACAGATGTGGCGTTCTTGGCAGAATAGACTCCGACGGCCAGCAGCGTCAGCCCAGCCACCTAGAGCGGGGCAGCGGGAAGGCAGGCGGAACCCACCAATCCTGCACCAGGCTGTCAGCAGTCGGCACCGCGCCCTCCCCCCATCCCATCCCATGCAAGGTGACAGCAAGGGTCACAGAGCAGTGTCCTAGCTGGCGCTCAATTTCGCATGACCGCAGATACTTCCAGACAGATGCGATATCAAAAAGCTTATCATAACCACCCTTTCTCAGAAAGCTACTGGAGGATGCACTCCAGTAGAATTAGGGAAGCTTCCAGGCAACAGGAGCCCCAGCTACGAAGAGACAGAGAGATCCTGAGGCTCAGAGGAGACAGACCGAACACTGTGGTGGAAGCACAATCACAGGGCAGGTGACCAAGAACTACAAGAGATTCCTGGAAGGTATGCCAACACCTGGAAACGAAACTGAAACGTCTTCCCTACAAGACAAACAGCCTGGCTGCTGCAGGGGGAAGCAAGGACTCTCTAAGACCACAGGAATGAGGTTCCAGGAGACCAGGTGGTGACTACAGTGACAGGAACAAGAGGCCTGTGATGGGGGAGGTGGGGCTGGGCCGGCCCCAAGAATCCAGCAACCTCTGACATCACCCAGCGCTCTCCAGTGACCACCCCTCCGTGAGTCTACCCGGCTTGCTGGGAAGGTAAACGCTTGACTCATGAGCAGCTGATCAAATAGGAAGGATGGCCAAAGGGCATTTTCCTGCTCAGCCTGTCCTGTGCCTGGATTCCCCACCAAGGAGCTCCTGTCAGGGGGCAGGCCAGGACTGACTGTCAGCCCACAACACTGCCCCAGGAAGGTGAGGATCCCAGACTGAAGATGGACGTGAGAGATTCAACAGAGATTCAACATAGATGTTTACAACAGCTGGAAAAGTCTGGAAAGATCTGAGTGCACAGGGTGCTCAGACCACACGAGCAGTCAGAATGCCTTTAAAACACTCTGGGGGGAGGGGTTGTCTGGGTGGCTCAGTCGGTTGAGCATCTGCCTTTGGCCCAGGTCGTGATCCCAGGGTCCTGGGATGGACCCCCACATGGGGCTTCCTGCTCAGCAAGGAACCTGCTTCTCCCTCTTCCTCTGCCCCTCCCCCACCTTGTGCTCCCTCCCTCCAATAAATAAACCAAATCTTAAAAAAAAAAAGAGCCAGCAGTCTCACTAGCTGCCGGTTTCCTCAACTGGCATCCTGGCCCTCCCCTGGTAGTCCAGTCCCTGCTTTCCTTGAGGCACAGCCTGACCTCCCCTGCTGCTTCTCACTGTCTCCAGAAAGAGGCTAGAACTATGCCCAAAGCAGGGCACTTGCAGAAAGGGCTTCAGAAGCCAGCAGGCCAGGAATGTGGGTGCACAGGGACGCTCATGGTCAGCATGGTTACTTGTCTCACCCTTTGTTAGGGCATCAGTACCACGTGAGCAAGTGCCAAGTCACACTGTGCAGCCTAGAGCGGTGCCCGGCCCAATGCTGACATTAGGAAGTACTTGAAGAATTGGTGGGCTTTTTGGGAACCAGTCCTGGCTGAAGCCCTCCCCTCTACCCTGAGTGCTAAGCAGCCGCGTGGCACAGCACAGACCACAGGGCCTTGGAATGTGTGCCTGGAGTCCTACAGCCTTGTTGGCTGCCCTCCGCCTCCCGCTAGAGGGTGGGAACCCTTACCAGAGCACGGTTTAAAGGGGTTCATCTCCGGGGCGCCCCTGGAGGTTTAGCTGGGCCCCACCCTTGAGGCTGCCAGGCAGATTTCCAGTTACACTTTCCAAAGGGCAGCACTTCTAAGGAAGAGGGAAACTGAAGCTCTAGCACCTCTTCCCACGTCGTCCAGCCCAAAGGTTAAAAAACCCACCGCCAGTGTTAACACTGAATTGCTCCCTGCGCCCCACACCCAGAGGCCGCGCCGCTTCCGATTTTCACAGCAGGGGGGCGGGAGGGAAGAGAAGCAGCGCATGCTTACACCTTGGACCTGCCTGGCACACCTCCCACCACTGAGTGCAGGCACACGACCCAACGGCGACCCTGACACAGGCCACAAGCAGGGAGACGCAGCAGCAGTGTTTACCGTGGCTGTCACTTTGTCCCAGTCTGTCACGAAGGTACGGAATCCTTCCCCAAACAGGGTGCCGGCTGTCCTGTAGAGGAAGCAGCGATGTGACCGGGCAGAACGACCTAGGCCCTTGGCTGGAGACAGGGCAAGGGCATTGAAGGTCAGCCCTGAAGGTCAGCACCCGGAGGACCTGCTGAGAGGCCGCCTCCTGCCAAGGCACTGACCGAGGGCCTCCTGGCACACGTGAAGGGCTGTGCTAGGGGCCTGTGGGGACCGGCCCTCACCGGATGGACTCCAGGATGGTCTGGCGGTGCTCGGCAGCCTTCAAGCGGATCTGCTCACGAATGATGTCCGCATTCTCGCGCTCCGCCTTGGCCCGAGCCCGGGCCTCAGCCTCTACCCGCAGCATCTCGTTCTTGTGCCGCAGCTCCATCTCCCGTTCCACAGTGGCTGCCCAGGGAAAGGGCAGGAGGAGGGTGTTCAGCCCACGGCCCCCTAATCCTTCCAGTGAGGCCCAGGCAACCCTCCTCCCAGACCCTGGGGGAATGCCCGGCCTGCCCAGGCTTCTGCTACAAAGTCCCAACCAAGGAACGCAGAGCTCCTATCGAGAGTCTTGGAAATGTTGCTTGGGGATCAAAGTACCTGAAGCAACGTGTATCCGTGCCTACAGCCTGCTTTCCCCAGGGGCCCTTCTCGAGCCTAGGACCGCTCCAAGCACATAGCCCCCAAAGCCCAACTCTACCTCGCCGCATGGCCTCCTGCTTCTGCACCGACTCCTCCTGCTTCCGTAAATTCTCCTCATTGAGAAGTTGCTGAGAAGCCACAGGGGAAAGGGAAAAGCTTTCAAAATTAGTAAACTGATCTGGGGTGCCTGGGTGGCTCAGTCGGTTGAGCATCCAACTCCTGGTTTCGGCTCAGGTCATGATCTCAGGGTGGTGGGATGGAGCCCCATGTCGGGCTCTGCACTCAGCAGGTAGACTGCCTGAGTCTCTCCTCCTCCCTCTGCCTCCCCACCTCCGCTCATGCACGCGCACTCTCTCTCGTTAAAACAAATAAATAAAACCTTAAAAAATATATTAGGAAGGGATCAACAATCAATCTAAGAGATGAGCTGCTCCAGCCTGGGGGGAAGCTTCTGCTGCCCCCGGGGTCTCCAAACCTCTCTGGGAATGATGCCCCGGGGCCTACACACTCCATAGCCCTTGGCAGGCGGGTCTGAACCCCACCCAGGACATATGCACACATGCATGGGGGGAGGGGGCGGCACAGTTCCGCCACAGGATAGACCTCTGGGCACCTCTAGTCCAGACTCATAGCTGTCCTCAAGACATTGTCTTTCCCCTGTTAAATTTACGTTTTTAAAAGAAATTTTATTTAAATTCTAGTTAGCATACAGTGCAATATTGCCCTCACCAGAATTCGGTGGTTCATCACTTACATACAATACCTGTACCCACCACAAGTGTCTCCTTCATCCCCGTCGCGCATCTAGCCCCTCCCCCCCCTCCAGGGACCCTCAGTTTGTTTCCTATCATTCAGAGTCTCTTATGGTTTGTTTCCTTCTCTCCTTTGCTTTCCTCCCTTCCCCTGTATTCATCTGTTTTGATTCTTAAATTCCGCATATGAACGAAATCACGCTGTCTTTCTCTGACAGACTTATTTCACTTAGTCCAATGTATTCTAGCTCCATCCATGTCGTAGCAAATGGTAAGGTTTCATGCTTTTTGATGACTGGGTTTCCTTGGAATGCCCAAACAGGTACAAGCATTTGGAAATCACCTCTACCATGAACTTGTCACAGCCAGGTTCCCAGGTTCTCAGAAGAACCCTCCCCACAGCCAGAGCCTGGAGGCCCGTGTGTCCCATGTGTGTGTGCATCCCTGGGACCTAGCACCTACCGCTGGTAAAACAACTCTGAATTCTGGCCCAACAGCTGCCCCCAAATATGTGCTCTCGGGGAGGACAGAGGCAGCTCCCCTCCCATGCAAATGTGCTAAGCTCACCTGCTGCTTCAGCTGGTCCTCATAGCGCTGCCGGGCCAGCTTGTCTTGGTACTGGGCCCTCTAGGGAGGAAGAGGGCAGTGTGAATACAGCTCAGCTGAAAAAGCTGGTGGACGGCCTGAAACCCACATCTGAATCCAGACTTTACTGGGTGCTGGGCTCCCAGATAAGCCACCCACCTCTACCTGCTGTTAATGAGCACACACACTTGGTACACGTGTACTCCCCGTCACGCTCAGCACTGAGGGATCCATGGGCTTTTGATATTTGCACAAGGGCATCCCAGAGTCTCGATGGGTAACAGACCCAGACTGAATTTTGGGACCATGGTGTGCCCCAGCCGCGCTCCACCCTGGTCACCCTGTGCCCGTGGGGCCATGTGGTCCTTACAGCCTGGTGCTGCCTCGTCTCCTCACTCAGAGTCTTCCTCCTTTCTTCAGCCTGCACGCGGATCTGCTCACTCTTCAGCTGCTCCACAGCGGCCTCGTATTCCTACAGAATATACCAGAGGTTGCAAGTCCAGAGCTGGTGGGGCCTCCCTCTCAGGACTCTGAGGCTCAGGGCTCACACTGCCTCAGCAACCCTTTCCCAGGTAGGCTCCAAACTGGCTGGACAGGAGCAGGAGGGGCATCCAAAAAACACAGCCTAGACCAGCACCCCACATGCCTGTCAGCTCCCAGCTGCATGGGCACCAAGGCCCAGGACGGCCCAGACCACAAGTAGTGAAGTGCCAGGAAAACAGGGCTGGGCCCCAAAGGAGCAAGATGGTCTCCTGGGGTGTCTGTCACTCCCTTCCCCAACATTGTTTCCATGGTGGCTTATGTCACGTGCTCACTTTTGTGTGTGTGGTTTTTTTTTTTTTTTAAGATTTTAGTTATTTATTTGACAGAGAGAGACACAGCGAGAGAGGGAACACAAGCAGGGGGAGTGGGAGAGGGAGAAGCAGGCTTCCCGTGGAGCAGGGAGCCCGATGCGGGGCTTGATCCCAGGACCCTGGGATCATGACCTGAGCCAAAGGCAGACGCTTAACAACTAAGCCACCCAGGCGCCCCAAATAAATACAGATTTTTAAAAGACTATTTGAGAGCGAGCGAGCGAGGGCACAAGCAGGGGGAGGGGCAGAGGGAGAAGCAGACTCCCCAGTGAGCAGGGAGCCTGATGCGGGGCTTGATCCCAGGACCCTGAGATCATGACCTGAGCCGAAGGCAGACGCTTAACGACTGAGCCACCCAGGCGCCCCACGTGCTCACTTTTGGACTACGCTTTACAACAGCCAACGATGGACGGCAGAGCCTGTGTCTTTTCTATGCTTGCTATGTGCTCAGCATAAAGGTCCTGCCGAATGCAGAGAAACCAGGTAAGAATCTCCCTTGGGGAGACCAGATGGTCCTCACCCACACCAGCCCTTCCAGGTGGTTCTGCTGCAAGAACTCAGGCCACAAACCCAGCGCATCTTTGACCTCTTCCTGTTTCCCTCTTAACCACAAGCAAGAAGGCAAATCCAAGAAAGGAGATGTCTGAGGAACCCGCCCTGTGCCCACCGCCCACATGCACTTTCTCTTTGCAGGTCGTCCCTCCACCACAGGGATGTGGCCTACCTCGGCCAGCACCAGCCCCACTACTCACTTTGAGCTTGGACTGTTGCTCCAGCTGCAGCGTCTGCTCCTGCATCTGTGCAAGACTCAGGGCCTCCTTGGCATGTCCTGTGGGGGAAAGGGAGAGAGTGGGTATTAGGACACTTGGGCACCAGGCAAGCATTCCTGTGTGCCAGGGGGCTTTCAGGGAGGCCACAGCTCACCTCAACCAGAAAACACACGTGCCCACCCTCATTCCTGGACCAGATCTTGTTTGGTGACCCCTCCCTCCGAGACCACTGCCCCCTTTTCCTCACCTATGTCTGCTCCACTCCCAACAGAAAGCCCCACATACAAGACCTTACCCCCCCAGCAGCTGTCACATCCCAGAGAGCTATCAGAAAGGCTGCCCCACGCTAGTTGAGAGTAGGAGGATCAACATGGCCGTCACGGTCCCGATTAAACAAAAAGCAGCCTGTAGCTAGAATACCTTATTTTTCGTGGTAAGTATATTTCTCTTAAGTCCCCGATATCTATTATTATTAACCTGCTACCAAACACATGCGAGTAGTACAATGAATAGGAAATAAACAAGTTAAAATTAAGCCAATGCACACAGAATGATGGCTCTTCACAGACCTTGTGTTACAAACACACACATTATAAAGGTTTTCTGTGTGTATTTTATTCGTAAGGTGCAATTCATATCCACCAATACTTGAGTGTTCTGAAAAAAAAGCTAACTTCTGGTGCTCTCCTAGCCAAAACGCCCGTGCATCTGGCTTCTCAAATATTTTGGTGATGACACAGTTCTCCCATACATGAGATTTTACTATAAAGAAATATCCTCATACGTAGCAGTATGGAAGGAAAGTAGGAAATCCCTGTGAACCCAGCTCCCTGATGGAACAATGTACCTGGTTTTCTCCCTTTGTGTACCACACATCTATCCTTCCACCTGAGTCCCGTGACCTTACTTTCTGAAGCCTTCGAAGTAAGTTGCAGACCCCAGTACCCATCACGCCCAAGCTGCGGCAAACACACCATTACCTAGAGCATGACTTCTGTGTGCAGGTCTGTGAGCACCCTCACACGCTGAGATGGACGGGGAGGAAGCTGCGGTATCTGATGGTCCACTAGGGCCAGTGGTGTGGAGAGCACATAGTGCCTGAGCCTGGGAAGGACCTTCAGAGCCAGTCAGGATCGGGCTGACACGGCCTCCCACACCTCACTACAAGGCTCTCCCCTGGGTCTCTGGCGATCGGAGGCACAGGAGCCCGAGGAGAGGCAGCACAAAGCACCAGGGTCCCACATCCTGCCCCGTAAACTTGGGAAGCCACAAAGCCAAGGCTCGAACAGACTCTAGGAGCCCCTTCTGAGCAGGAGGGAGTGAAAGCACAACAGTGCTCGTCCTGCTGCAGCAGATAGGAACGTGGGTGCCTCAGGGCAACAATGCTGAGACCAGGTCCCAGCTGCCCTTGTCACTCACATGACTTTAGTCAGCCAGGTTAACCTCACCTGAAAATGGGGCAATTAGAGATCCCTCAGTCACTGACTCGAGAGAGAGGGAAATGTGAGAGCAGGTAACCTCAGCACAGCGCCTGGCACCCACGTGTCCCACTAATCACAAGCTACAATTTCAACACTACCAAGGGTAACTTACCACCTTGAAATCATCTAACAGGAGCTGTGCATTCCAAAGCACTAATGTAGCTCCTACTACAGGCAAGGGACTCTTTTACACCTCCACCTTCATGGAGTGTACAGACACATGGACTGGAGCACTCAGAGAGCTCAAGGCCAAATGTGCTGCTCTGACCTCCAAGGAAGGCCCAGAGACTTAGGGGATGAAGGAGCATCAGGCTGGACCCAAAGGACAGAGCAGGCGGTCATACTACAGGGAGCAGCTGAGGGCATCCTGGTTTGCCTGGAGAGAGCAGTGAGTACCAAGAAGACAGGTTTTGGAGAGGGGCTGTTGAGCAGAGAGGCAGAAGGCACCCTGGGAAGAAGGGGCTGGGGACAGGAAGAGGTGGTTCAGCAAGGCAAAAGCTCTCCCACTGGCCAGTAATTAGGCCAGGAAGGATGGCAGGAACAAAATGAAGTAGAGGGGCTCCAGGCTAGTTCAGCTGGATGGGCATGCGACTCGTGATCTTGCGTTTGTAAGTCTGAGCCCCCCCGGTGGGTATAGAGATTATTTAAAATATAAAAAAAATTTTAAAAATTAAATGAAGGGCACCTGGGTGGCTCAGTCATTAAGCATCTGCCTTCGGCTCAGGTCATAATCCCAGGGTCCTGGGATCAAGCCCCGCATCGGGCTCCCTGCTCCACGGGAAGCCTGCTTCTCCCTCTCCCACTCCCCCTGCTTGTGTTCCCTCTCTCGCTGTGTCTCTCTCTGTCAAATAAATAAATAAATAAAATCTTAAAAAAAAAAATTAAATGAAGTAGAGCTCACACTTAGAACAGAATCATTGGATGTAGGGCACCCAGGTGGCTCAGTTGGTTAGGCGTCTGCCTTCAGCTCAGGTCATGATCCAAGGGTCCTGGGATCGGGCCCTGCATGGGGCTCCCTGCTCAGTGGGGAGCCTGCTTCTCTCTCTCCCTCTGCTGCTCCCCCTGCTTGTACTCTGTTGCTCTCTGTAAAATAAATAAAATCTTTTTTTTTTTTAAAGATTTTATTTATGGGTATGGTCCCCCCAGACAGTGGCCCCTGGGGGCCAGGTGGAGAATATTCTGGGGGAGTAGCTGTGGAGCACCTGGTACCAAAGACATGGGAGCTATTCAGAGGCATGATCAGATGAGGAAGAGAGGCCCCTTAGCTGCCTCCCCTCAGGCACACTCAAGGCTATTCACAAAGGCCCCCATAACTGCAAGGATTTGGGGATAGTAGGATTCAGCTTCCAAAAGTGGAAAAACTCTGAAATTCTGTGTACGATTGAGTTAATGAAATGTCACAGGAGCTGGGGCAGAAAGGTGCCACCCCCACTAAGCCCTTAACAACAAATTGGGTCACGTGTTAAAAGTCTGTCATCATCTGAGGTGCCTTGATGCCCAGCCCAACGTGGGTTTCTCAACCAACCCGATAACTGAAATTACCTTGCAAATTCAATACACCTAGTCTGAGAAGGATGGTCTTCCAGCTAGGCCTAAGTAAACAGGCCATCCTAAGCCCAGGCCCAAATATCCAGATGTTTTTAATGTCCCTCTGGGGATCTGGGAGTCAGGCACCCTTGCACCAGGATGTTCCTGCAGCCCCCTGGGGAAGGGCAGGGACTGAACCACAAAGTGCCAGGCCTCTCCCTCCTCAAACAGATTCTCCTTTATACCTGTTTATAGCATGGCTTCTTAATACAGCCTCCTCTGAAAAAAGGGCATCTCTGCTTAAGCAGAAATCTGAGAACTACTGTGTCCTTTCAATCAGTGTTTATTCGCTGTCTTCTACATTCTAGGTTCTCAAACACTTAAGACTATATCCTAGAACAAATCATTAAGCCAATAAGACAAAAGATGGGAGGAAAGGAGGTAGGATTAGCGAAGGTCCGGCCAATTACCGTGCCTTGAGGGCCCTAAGTCAGGAAGGCTACCTGGAGGGACCAGGACAGACTGACCTGCATTGCATTACAGACCCCTCCAATCTGAACGCTAATGCTTTTCAAAAATAAGCACAAAGCTGCTGTATTTTCCATAAAACCAATGGCCCTCAACTGTACTTCCTTCTCAAATGGACAACTGCTAACACCACGCACGGACTGGATCTGGCCACGCTTTGGCCACGTGGAGGCAGCAAGAGGCCCAAGGAGCTTCCCTACTCGACAGTAATGAAGACCGGGCTCCAGCCCGGGCACCTGCTACCTGCGACTTCTCAAAATCCCATCTGCACCAGCTCCTCACTGAAGCACGCTCGACAGCTTGGAAGGCGCCGAGGGTGCTGGCATCCCCAACCTCCCCGCACCAAGGTGGCTTTGGCCAGGTTTACTCCTGCGGACCAGTTTCCCCACCCGGCAAGCGGGGCTGCAGATAGCCGCCTATCCCTCAGACGCCTGCGGAGCTAAACGCGCCCTAGGACCGGCATGCCCGGAGGCTCGGTGGACTGGCTCTCCGCGGAGGAGCCCGAGCTCCCCTGGCCCCACCCCAACCGGGCCGCACCCTCGCCGCCGCACTCACGCGAATGCTCCAGCTCTCGCGCCGCCTTGGCTGCGCGCTCCAGGCCCGTGGGGTCAAAGTTGCTCCATTTGTCCTTGGGCGCCGGCCGATCCCCCGCGCCACGGTCCCCGCCGCCCTCGGCCCCAGGCTGAGCGGGCGGCAGGGACAGCGGGGGCCCCGCGCCTTCGCCCTTGGGACCCTTGATCCCGAAGAGCCACGACATGGCGCGCGACCGCCGCGCGGCGCGGCAGCCGCCGGAGCCGAAGCCGAGTTGAAGCGCGCGGACCGGGGCAGCCTCCACGCGCCGCGAGCCGGGGGTCAGAGGTCCTGCGCAGGCGCGACAACGCCTCTTCCTCCGGGCGACGGAAGCGCACGAGGGCCGCGTACCGTGCGGCCTCCTGACTGGCCGCGGTTACCGTGACGTCACCGGCGACGTCGCCAGGACTGCCCAACTGGCTCTGGGGGCGGGCCGTCGAGGGGCGGCCGAAACGCCTCGTTACGGGGACCGACCAGGGACAAAATGGGTTGGGTGCATGTGCGCCCTTGTTCACGTCATTTCCTGGTTACACGTCAGTTCTGGGTCGCGTTGCCGTGGGTTCCCGCAGGATCCCGACGAGGCGGAGACGGAGAGGCAGGTGCCGGGGCGCCGGGGGGGCGCCGGGGCGGGGGTCCTTGGTACGCGAGGTCCCGGCGACAGGGCGGTGAGCCCCGGACGGAGGGGGCGGCCGCCGGAGGGAGAGCCTGCGGAAAGCGGCTGCTCCGCGACGGAAAATCAGTCCGGGGCAGGCGCGGGGAGGGGCCTCGACTCCGCGCCCCGGACCCGCGCCCGCGCCCGGGCCGCGGGGGCCCCTGGAGGGTTGAGGCTGCGCTCAGTGGGTCTGGGCGCTCGCGAACGTCGTCGGCGCTTAGTAGGATGTTAGAAGGGTAGAAACGCAGTCGTTGCCCGTCCCCTAGGGCCGCCATCAGGTTGAAGGGCCGGCCGGAGAACA